CTAATCTTTTGTCACTGTGACTTTCCACCAAGCAGCCTGGAACTCTGTGCCAGATTGGAGAATACTCACGTCTTGGTCAAACTTTCTCGTCTGGATTACTAGGGCTGGACATCTCTGATACACTGGGGACTGGTTATCCCTCTGGAGGAGAGCTATACAGTGATTTCTGAAGTCTGGGGATACACTGAGGGGAACTTATGTTTTTGGGGAATATTGTTGGTAGCTACCCTGGTGTCTGGTAGCTAATAAAATTATCTTGTTTGATCCAGCTATGTCCCTGACATCAAGGTGCCTGGGTTGCGAAGTGTATTGATCCAATGATGACCCACTTTTGGGGACTGTGATATAAAAAGCCTGTTGTCACTCAATAATCCTGAACCTGTTTTACCCTGCATCAAGCCTCGGCTGATGATTAGGGATAGGGCTATAATCACTCTGGGGTCATTCACATTGAGGAAAGGGAATACCTGGCGGTGACATTCTGGCTAAATTGGAGAGTTCCGCCACATGTAATATGAAGTCATGTCCACGTGTGCTATTCTGCAACATGCAGGTTCATACACTACCTCATGAGACCAAGCAGCTTGACACTAAAAAAGCTGTGAACCTACACAGGAAAGAGTTTAAGAAGATGGCCTCTAACTCTGTAACTAAATTTTTTAACATGGATTCCTTTGCTCTGGTCAGGGTTGGTAACATGCCTTTTCAATATGGGAAACAAAAAAAAAGAAAGTTGTGCCGCTCTATTCTGGAGACTCCATGGATGTAGTCCTTCTATTTTAGTGTGTAACATCTGTTGTTTTATAGTTTTCAATTTGGAACAATGCCAATATAGCGTGCATCACCTTAAAGGAATACTATAGTGCTAGGAATGTAAATCTGTATTATGTAAAGTTCCTGGCACTATAGCTTCCTCGCACCCCCTCCCTCTTGCGGCCACCCCTGGCGTAGTAAGGGTTAAAATACCCTTATTCTACTTATCAGACGGGAGGGTAGGGGGAGATGTGCATGCTAATGCACATGCGCGGTGAACGCCACAAGCACCTTACGCCCTGTCTATAGGAAAGGATTGCTGCAATGTTTTCCTATGGGGTTTTGCTTGACGCTGGACGTCTTCACGTAGACCATGAGGACATCCAGCGTTAGTTAGGCTACCAAAAGTCACCTAACCGCCCGGAAACGCATCTATGGCTGTCTGATTAACAGCAACTAGAGGCAGTCTTAACCCTGCAAGGTAATTATTGCAGTTTCTAGAAATTTCAATAATTAACATTGCAGGGTTATGGGGAAAGGAGCATTGCGCCCAGACCACTTCAATGAACTGAAGTGGTCTGGGTGCCTATAGGGTTCCTTTAAATGGACATCATATATATTTATTTTCAGATGAATTCCACTTAATGCTCGATCAATTGGTGTAGCTTCCCATGATTTTGGAGAAGTTTACACTTTAGCCAAATAACAAACCTATGGATCAGCTGACAAAAAACAGGATACTGACAGGGTTAAGTGAATTTTCAAATTTAAAGTAAAAATAGCTGAAATGGAAGATTTCTGAAATTCAGCTATGCTTTCAGTTCGGTTACTCGAGCCATAAATGGGAAATTTGCTTTGAATTCTCACTTTAGTAAGTAACCCTGTGGATGTCTTTATTCTGGAGCGAGAAGAGGGAGCAGATTCCGTTGAAACAGTTCCAGCATTTTTGGAATACCTGACATGACTATATGTTGCCAAATTTCACCCCATGGATATATAGCTGAGCTCAGTCCTGCAGAGCTAAAATCATAAACATTCGTCCTGTGTGTTAGATAAAGATCTTATCTTTCCATGACGGTTTTATTTATTTTATTTGCTTCTGATAAAATTTACCAAGGACTATTTGTGGTTAGTATGAGCAGTGTTCTGCATCTTCATTTGGAGGGACTTTAAGGGTGTCCTTAGCATAGCTAGCACCTCCAAAACCAAAAGGGATATAATAGCGTGCCAACAATAGAACATATTGTGCTTCAAATTATTTGGATGAAGATGCCTCCAAGAGGACACGGAACATTTGATGTCAGGGCAACGTAAGTGAGCTTCTATAGGAACTGAATTCTAGCTAGAAAGCACGGAGAATCCTTTTATGGTCTACTGTAAGAGTCCTTTTCACCTTTGGACAAAAAAGAAGGTTGGAGATGTAGCAAAAATGATAGAGCCATCCAGATATGGGATAACTGAACTTATTTCTTTGTTCAAGACGTTGCCATAAAATTAGACATGATCTTTGTAAAGTTGAGGAGAGCTAAAAGGAAGCACTTTGAACTAGAAACCCAGAACTTCTTCTGGTGATCTGACCGGCTATCTCACTATAGGAACATGAAGATAGTTATCTTTTAAATACAGCTACCATGAAGTTGTTTTGCTGGATTAAATAGGTAGAATAGCCTAAAGGCTCCTTGTGTCATAACCCACAGGGATCTGGGATGAGCTGGAACCCTTTTGCAGCTTGACAGCCCACACTTGCAAGCAGGACCTCCTTGGTGGCCTAAGGTTGGGAACAGGTCAGGTTCTCTTGGAGGTAGCTGATGTCACAGGCGCCTTTTATAGTGAACCAGGAATAAACAAACTTCAAGGCATCAAATAAACAAAGGGGTAAGGCAGAATTTAAAGTCAGGTGGTCTCCCTAGGTCTGGGCAGACAGTGAGGTAGAGTATACAGTAGGACAGATCCGAGTCTGAAAAGTGAGGAAATTGAAGAAAGAAGCAAGAACGCATGAGAGGTTGAGGAGCAAAACAGCACTGGATCTCTAAAGTCAGGATGCCAGACTAACCAAGCACTGCGATAGGGGCACTGTGGGGTTTAATAAAAGCAGCCTGATCATGTGGGAGAAACGTGATTTAAAGGGACACTATAGTCATCAAAACAACTTTAATTTAATTAAGCAGTTTTGGTGTATATATCATGCCCTTGCAGTGTTATTGCTCAATTACCTGCCATTTAGGAGTTAAATTGCTTTGTTTTTGAAGCCCTAGCCACACCTCCCTGCATGTAATATGCATAACCTTCGTAAACACTTCCTGTAAAGAGTGATCTAATGTTTACACTTCCTTTACTGTAAATTATGTTTACTTTAGAATTTATTATCTGCTCTGTTAATAGTTTGATAGATCCTACAGGAGACTGTAGTTACATCTGATTGAAAATGAAACAATTTTGTTTTTCTTGCAGGCTGTGCCAGTCACAGCCAGGGGAGGTGTGGCTAGAGCTGCATAAACAAAAGTGATTTAACTCCTAAGTGGCCGTGAATTGAACAGTGAAACGTCAGAGGCATGATCTATACACCAAAACTGCTTCCTAAAGCTAAAGTTGTTTTGGGTGACTAAAGGGTGCCAGGTGTACCAGTACCATCTTGACTCACATTTGTGTCATCTATGATGCCGATGACAGAGGAATAATGACACGGTTGCTCTAGCTACAGACGTACTGGTAATGAAAAACATATTCAGAAAAATCTTTCTACAGACTGTTTGAAATACCAATGAGAATGGTAGTCTTTGGAAAACTGAGCCTTATGGAGAAAAAATATTTTTAACATACTTAGAGATGTAAACCTTCTTATCAGGATTTCTCCACTCTTTTTGCAATATGGCAAAGAATTTTGTGCAGAATGGAAAACGTTGAGACTTTATGGGTTTCCTTCATCTTCTTCCGTGATGTTAATAACTACTTTTGTGAATGTCTTCTTCAGGAGCGGCAACACAAAAAGTTTTAATCCTACCTTTAAAGATCATTCACCATGCAGAAGGACAGGTATGACACAGTGGGGACTAAACGGATATGCATCCTGCGGTCAGATAGCCCAGAACTTGTCTAAGTAGATTTTTAAATTTAGCACCCAATAAGCGTGATCCTCCTCATGCGCAGAGTTGCTTGAAGGATGTAGTGGAATGTAACGCAAGCTATACGTGCATTCCACCAGAACTCTAATACCTATAACTATTGGCCTTATATGCACGAGTTACAGAGCAAAATTCTAGAATCAGCGTGGCTTCCACCACTAGCCTTCCCACCTCAGAGGACTAGAATTATTATATTACTATTTATATAGCGCCAACAAATTCCACAGCGCTGTACAGTTGGTGGACGAACAAACATGTAGTTGTAACCAGACAAGTTGGACACACAGGAACAGAGGGGTTAAGGGCCCTGCTCAATGAGCTTACATTCTAGAGGATCCGGCAGTCATCTAGAAGGAGAGACACATAATAGCACCCAGCTACTAAGCCTGTGACATTGTGGACAGCAACCTCTGCTATGACACCATAAAATGGAAAATACCTCTTTATCATGATAGGCAATAGCTGGGTTTATTTGGTGGCTTGTGGTTTTATAGGCCAATGGGGTTTAGGAACCGAGGTGTTTTTTATAAATTAATTTCTGGCCCAGACTAGGAGTACCTACTTCAGGGGTGCCCAAAAGATAGATCCCCAAATGTTGTAGAATTACAACTGCCAGGATGCTTTTCGAATGACAAATCATCATTAAAGCTGTAGTTTTCAAACACCTGGGGATCTAACCAGGGGCGTACCTAGAGCATTTGGCACCCGGGGTGGATCCATTGCTTGGCACCTCCTCCCCCCTCCCCCCCACCAAAAGAACCTGTAAAAAAATTTAAACATTTTCTTTTTTTTTTTTTTTACAATTTGTAAACATTGCAAAAACCTTGTCAGTCCCTCCTACAAAGCCCTTGTCCTGCCCCGCCCCTCCTACAAAACCCCTGTCCTGCCCCGCCACTTCTACAAATCCTGTACTGCCCCCTGTCTACAAAACCCCTGTAACCCCCTTCCACAAATCCCCTGCTTATACCCCCTTATAAACACTCCTGTCCAAATACAAAATCCCTGCAGCACCACACACACATTTACAGGCAGACAGTCACTCACACAGTTACAGGCATACAGTTACACACAGTTACAGGCAGACAGTCGCACGCACACAGTCACATGCAGACAGTCACTCACACAGTTACAGGCAGACATTCGCACGCACACAGTCACATGCAGACAGTCACACATACAGTCACAGCCAGTCATGCATACAGTTACAGGCAGACAGTCACATATACATTGACACACACACACACGGTCACAGGCAGACAGTCACACACACTCACAGTTAAAGGCAGCAGCAGACAGTCACATGCACATAGTCACAGGCGTGCGCAGCCCATTGCATAAGGGTGTGCACCCTAAAGCACAAACACACGCTGCTTATTATATATATATATATATATATATATATGTATGTATATATATATATATATATATATATACACACACATACATACACACTACTGTGTGTGTGTAGGTGCTGTGTCTGTGTGTGTGTGTGTGTGTGTGGGCGCTGTGTGTGTGAAGGCGTTGTGTGTGTGTAGGCACGTTGTGTGTGTGTGTGCAGGCAGTGTGTGTGTGTGTAAGGGAGGGGGGACCGTGCTGCTGCCATCCCTGGTGGTCAAGTGGTGAGTGAACTTTAGCCCCGCAGCCTGCGGGGCTAGAGTTCACTCTCGCAAGATCTCAGTGTTGCCGTGGCAACGCTCAGATCTTGCAAGAGGAACCTGGCGGAGCTGCTGGCTAGAGCTCCCCGGGTCCTCTCCTGCCTCCCTCCATGCTGCTGTGGGCCGGTGAGGGAGATCTTTGATCTCCCTCACCGGCCCACGGAGGGAGGTACATAGCGCGTGCCGCAGGGATTAGGGTGTGCCCAGGCACACCCGGCACACCCCGTGCGCATGCTTATGCAGATCGACACACACATGGTTACAGGCAACATCAAACAGTCACAGGCAGACATTAACACATACATAGTCACATGCAGTCACACACACATTTATAGGCAGACAGTTACACACACAGTCAGTTACAGGTAGTCACACACAGTCATAGCCAGACAGTCACGCACACAGTTACAGGCAGACAGTCACATATACAGTCACTCACACACACAGTCACAAGCAGAGAGTCACAAACACTTACAGACACACACACAGTCACAGGCAGAGTCACAAACACTTACAGACACACACACAGTTACAGGCAGACACACACATAAACACAAAAAGATACAGGCATGCAGTCACACACAAATACACAGTTACAGGCAGACAGTTTTACACACACACACACACACACACAGACACACAGACACACACACACACACACACACTCTTACTTACAGATAGTGGGCTGGAGGAGGAGTGGTTTCCTGAAGTCCTTCCCTGAAACCTGTGGAGAAGCAGGTAATGGGATTCCATCTTACTGCACCACCATGTGCAGCAGTAACCGGTAAGGGTATTAAGCCCAGCCCCAGGTTTGGCTCCGTCCCCACTTTACCTCCGTGCGGCCAGTTCAGCTGCTCTTAGCATGTGAGAGCTGTTCTGGCCGCCCGGCACCCTAACTACCATGGGGAAGCACCGTGCAGCCGTACAGCTCACACAGCCCCCTCCAGCTCCCAGACCAGGGTCATGGCACCCCCCACCCTGGTGGCACCCGGGCCGGACCGCTCCCTCCGCCCCCCCTTAGTACGTCACTGGATCTAACCTTTGGGCACACCCCCACCTACGCTGTAGTCAAGACATATACACGACTATGGAGTATATGCTAGAAAATGCAATCTTTAGCTAAATCCTTTATTAATCCCTTAAGGACGCATGACAGAAATATTCCGTCATGCTTCCCATTTATTCCAGAAGTTGTGTCCTAAAGGGGTTAATTCAAAGCTCGTTTCACATCCAGTGCGTAAAACAATTTTACTCTGTATTGTATTGCTGTAAGACTGATACTGTTCATGCGCAGAGTCTGTCCTTTAATTACCCTACAAAAATTTCCCATTCCAGTGCATTTCCCAGCTACTTGGATTATATGTTATTGTCGCCAAAATACATTGTGTCAACAAGACTAAAATTCGTGTCGCTCTGGCCCCCAGTGACAGGAGTACACCAGACTCATGTGGCAGTTATACTGAATGTAGGGAGGGCCAATCAGAAAGCAAGATCAGCACACAATGACCTATCAAGCTCTAAGATCTGAGAGGGATGTATGTGATTGGTTGCTCTGTGTTTACTGTTTAATGTTTAACCCCTTAAGGACGGAGCCAAATGTACACATTGTGAACAAAACAAAATGTAAACAAAACCTGGCATTTGCGCTACATGTCTGTCCAACCGTAATACACCTCTTTCATAGTAAATGCACCCACCCTTATTATATATCATTTTATTCAGGGGAAACAGGGCTTTCATTTAATATCAAATATTTAGCTATGAAACATAATTTAATATGAAAAAAATGGGAGAAAATAAGTTTTTTTTGGATTTTTTTAGTTCTACATGACATTTTAACGGTCAGTGTCATAATACTGTTTGCTTTTACTGCAATAAAATACACATATTTATATTCAGTAAAGTCTCACGTGTAAGACAGTACCCCCTATGTACAGGTTTTATGGCGTTTTGGGAAGTTACAGGGTCAAATATAGCACGTTACATTTGAAATTGAAATTTGCCAGATTGGTTACGTTGCCTTTGAGACTGTATAGTAGCCCGGGAATGAAATTTACACCCATAATGGCATACCATTTGCAATAGTAGACAACCCAAGGTATTGCAAATGGGGTATGTCCAGTCTTTTTTAGTAGCCATTTGGTCACAAACACTGGCCAAAGTTAGCGTTAGTATTTGTTTGTGTGTGAAAAATGCAAAAAACGCCAATTTTGGCCAGTGTTTGTGACTAAGTGGCTACTAAAAAAGACTGGACATACCCGTTTGCAATACCTTGGGTTGTCTACTATTGCAAATGGTATGCCATCATAGGGGTAATTTTCATTCTTGGGCTACCATAGGGTCTCAAAGGCAACGTAACCAATCTGGCGAATTTTAATGTGAAAAAAATGAAACGCAAGCCTTATATTTGACGCTGTAACTTTTGAAAACACCATAAAACCTGTACATGAGGGGTACTGTTGTACTCGGGAGACTTCGCTGAACACAAATATTTGTGTTTCAAAACAGTAAAAAGTATCACAGCAATAATATTGTCCGTGTAATGCTGTTTGTGCGTGAAAAATGCAAAAAACTTCACTTTTACTGGCAATATCATCGTTGTAATACATTTTACTGTTTTGAAACACTAATATTTGTGTTCAGCGAAGTCTCCCGAGTAGAACAGTACCCCCCATGTACAGGTTTTATGGTGTCTTGGAAAGTTATAGGGTTAAATATAGTGCTAGCAAATTAAATTCCCTTTACTTTCGGCATGGGTTGTCAGGCAGGTCCCGCTAATTGTAATTAATTAAGATACCTAATTATGTAAAAATATTACATAAATATATATGTAGAATTAATATATGTATATATATATATGTATGTGTATATATATGTATATATCTATATAATTTTTTAAATATTTTTATTTATATATAGGTATATATATAGTGATATATACGTATATATTTATGTATATAGATATATATATTATTTCGTTCTACGTGTATTTTGATATATATATATATATATATATTAATTTCACAAAACAGTTAGAACGAAATAACACACATCTATATATTTTTTAATTATTTATTTTTAATTATTTTTTTAATTTTATTTTTTAACGTATTTACATTTTTATTTTTTTTATATTATATATAAATATATATATAACAATAATTATATATATATTTAATCAGTATCAGTCTACGTGTAATTTGATATTAATATATATATATAATTATATATATATTAATAGTAAAATACACCTAGACGGTGTACGTGTGTGTATGTATATGTGTATATATATACTTAGATCATATATATATAATATATACATATGATCTAAGTATATATTATTATTTTTTTACACCAATAAATGTAATTTTAATTTTATTTTCAGCCAGCAGGGGGACCACCTGTCATTACAGGCAGCCCCCCTGCTGGTAATGCAGGAGGCAGCCTACCCGGCCATGTGATTGTGGGGTCCTCGCTAGGACCCCACTCTCACATGGCCGGGGAGCACCGGAGAAGGATCTGCCGCGGGGGGGCTCCCTGGGAGTCCCCCCCACCGCGATCGCCGGCGTGGGACCGCCGGCGACCGGGTAAGTTAACAAAAACCGGAGGGCGTACAATTACGCCCGGCGGCGTTTAGAGCCGCCTATTAGAGGGTGTAATTGTACGTCCTCCGGTTTTAAGGGGTTAATCAATAATTTGTGTAAATAAAGCAGTACAGCAAGCATGTCACACTCAGTCTGGATCAAGCCACATAAACAAGGTTTAAGTTTATGTGGGCCACAAAAGAAAAAAAACCCTTACATTTTCATAGAAACGTAGGTTTATTTTAAAAAGTACAGTATAAAGAAACCCCCAGCATCCCCCTCTACTAAACCACTGCACGCCCCTCATAACTGAATTGATCAAAACATAACCTTTGATAAATTAAATGTTAAAACAGGTCTATGTTAAATGTATCACAGCTATTTTTGCTGAAAGTAAGGAGAGGGAAGGAGTACTGGCTTGAAAAATCAGAGGATGAATAATAATGACAGGGAAAAGGGAGGGGAGTATACTCTAACAATAGGAAAAACCTATGTACACCAAATATCAACTAAAGTGCCTTCGTGGGCACCCCTTAAAGGGACACTATAGTCACCAGAACAACTACAGCTTATTGAATTTGTTCTGGTGGGTAGAATCATTACCTTCAGGCTTTTTGCTGTAAACACTGTCTTTTCAGAGAAAATGCAGTGTTTATATTACAGCCTAGTGATAACTTCACTGGCCACTCCTCAGATGACTGTTAGAGATCCTTCCTGGGTCATGGCTGCCTAAAATGCATCCAAACATTCAATGTCTCCTCCCTCTGCATGCAGACACTGAACTTTCCTCATACAGATTCATTGATTCAATTCATCTCTATGAGGAGATGCTGATTGGCTAGGGCTGTGTTTGAATCATGCTGGCTCTGCCTATTTGTCAGTCTCAGCCAATCCTATGGGGAAGCATTGTGATTGGATCAGGCTGATGATGTCAGCAGACTGCTTGTTTTTCTGAATCTAACAGCATGCAGAGTTACAGCTTCAGGCTTGAATACAGTAAGATTTTTACTATATTTGTGGAGGCATGAGGGGCCCAGGGGGGCTAGATGGTGGTTTTACACTGTAGGGTCAGGAATACATGTTTGTGTTTCTGACCCTATAGTGATCCTTTAAAAAGACTAGACTCCCATAACTTCCTATACCCAAAGCCCGTACAAAAAGAAAGAGAGAGCAAGACTCCTTCCCCTCACACGGATTGCTAACTGTTGCCAGCTGGTAAAGTAAATAGATTACATACTAAAATCACAGCGTGGTGTCTTGTCTAAAGACTAGAATATAGCTGCAGCATCATTCCTTATCTAACTGCCACCCACTGCTCTAAACTGTCCTGATGCGCGTTTCACTGAATAATGGCTCTTCCAGGTGGCCCGGTAGCGTCTGGCACTCTGGAGATGTGTTCTCTTCACAGATGAATCCCGGTTTTCACTGTACAGGGCAGCTGGCAGACAGCGTGTATGACGTTGTGTGGGGGAGCGGTTTGCGGATGTCAACGTTGTGGATCGAGTGGCCCATGGTGGCAGTGGTGTTATGGTATAGGCAGGCGTATCTTACGGATGCACAGAGATAGCGTAACAAGATCCTAATGTCCATTGTTGTGCCATTCATCCACGGCCAACACCTCATGTTGCAGCATGATAATGCATGGCCCCATGTTGCAAGGATCTGTACACAATTCCTGGAAGCTGAAAACATCTCTGTTCTTGCATGGCCAGCGTACTCACCGGACATGTCACCCATTGAGCATGTTTGGGATGCTCTGGATCAGCGTATACGACAGCGTGATCCAGGTCCTGCCAATATCCAGCAACTTCGCACAGCCATTGAAGAGGAGTGGACCAACATTCCACAGGCCACAATCAACAACCTGATCAACTCTATGCGAAGGGGGATGTATTGCACTGTGTGAGGCAAATGGTGGTCACACCAGATACTGACTGGTTTTTGGACCCCCCGGACCTCACCCAATACAGTAAAACTGCACATTTTAGAGTGGCCTTTTATTGTGGCCAGCCTATGGCACACCTCTGCAATAATCATGCTGTCTAATCAGCCTTTTGATATGCCACACCTGTGAGATGGATGGATATCAGCAACGGATAAGTGCTCACTAATACATATTTAGACAGGTTTGTGAACAATATTTAAAAGAAATAGGCTCATGAAAAATGGGGGGCAAAAACAAAAGTGTTGCGATTATAATTTTGTTCAGTGTAAATTGAAATTGGCCGCCAAAATTAACACTGCACAGAGGGGCTGTGAAAGGGGAAAAAGAGACAGTCCAGGGCTTGGGAGAGAGAGAGAGAGAGAGACAGCTAGAGAGGCTGGGAGGAAACAAAAAGGCAGAGGAGCTGGGGAAGGGACAAAAGAGACATATAGAGGCTTTAACTAAACCCATTAGATTTTAGTTGTGTCGATTAAAGTCTACTGGAGATTTAGTCGACTAAAAGTAGACTAAAAGAATTCAGATAGCTAATATACGACTAAAAGTAAAACGGCTTTTTAGTCAAAAGACTATGACTAAAACTAAATTTATATTTTCTGCCAAAATTAACACTGGTTGCAAAGCAGATTCTGATGTCAAGTTTCTGTGATCCACGAGGAGGTCTATGGCTGACTAGGGGAGGAAGTCATGAACCTTTCTCTACAAGCTGCTTGATTTCGTTTGAGAGTTTAAGCAGCTACCAACACAACGTTTTTGTGGATTATCAACGTGAACATATCTTATATCTTCACTCCAGTAACTATTGTCCCACCTCCATTAACTCATTCAAGTATATTTTTCATTGTCCTTCTTATAAGATCTATCCATCTCTCTCTTCTGGTGTTTCTCTCCTAGCCTTCTACCCTAGAAATGATCTCTCTCCAGCTTTATAATCATTTTATTATTTATATAGCGCCAGCAAATTCCGTAGTGCTGTACAATGGGTGGACTAACAGACACGTAATTGTAATTAGAGAAATGGACACACAGGAACTGAGGGGTTGAGGGCCCTGCTCAATGAGCTCACATGCTAGAGGGAGTGGGGTATAGTGATACAAAAGGTATAACTAGGGGTAATGAAATAGCTATGTTATTAAATGCCATGCCATTTCCTTTCATCTCATAACTTACTCGGAATACCATTATATTATTTTATATAGCGCAAGCAAATTCCATAGCGCTGTAAAATGGGATAAACACAGTACTAAAATAGCTCAATTATAGAAGTGCATTATCCTTCGGCTTTACCACTAAAATGTCCATAGTAAAAAAAAGAGGTCTAAGAACAAGTAAGCAATACTAATTTTAATGAAAAAATACATATCTGAAGAAAAATGTTCAAGTGACTGGTGGTTCTTTATGGATAACATAGAAACATAGAATGTGACGGCAGATAAGAACCATTCGGGCCATCTAGTCTGCCCCAAAATAAAACAAAACAAAAAAACACAATGAATGTTTTCTAAGTAAAACACATCCAGACAAGTGCCTTATTGTAACTTGACAATTTATCGTCAAAATATAGTTCAAATTACAGAGCTTTATTATTAATAAGAAAAAAAAGACACTCACCACAGTTGTCCCTAAAGTTTCTCTTTATTTAATCAGAGTACTGAACAAAAAAAAAAAAGCGAAAAACACAACATTCCCCGCCCTCTTTGTACAAAACAAAATTAACGAGAACGCACTTAATTTTTAAATTGCTACACTAAACCAACGGATCTGTTACAAAACACGATCTTTTAATTATTATTTTTTTTGTTGTTTTCAATTTTAACCTACAAAAAAAAGCATTTGTTTTAAATATTGTGTAGATACAGAAAAAAAACCAAAACAACAAAATATTTTTGTAACGCGGCTCACATCCTATTTTCTTTTCATAGTGCTGAAAATGCACTAAAAGGGTTTTGCCTCTCACCATGCGTGCATACAGCACAGCAAGAATCTACATTTCCCCCCAAAAGAGGAAAATAAACAAACAAAAAAAACAAAAACAAAAAAAAAGTAACTAAAAAAAAAAACAAAACAAAAAAACACATCTCTTAGGGTTTTCCTTTAAAAACAAAAACTAGGAAAAAAGAAAAAAAAAAAAGAAGAGGTGAATTTCTTACATATGTTATACTAAAACAAGCCAGCTAAAATACCACATTTCAGGTACAAGCAAAAACGGGAAAAAAAAAATATAGATATAAAAAAAATTATATATAGATATATATAATCCACCCACCCCAAATAAGAGAAATAATTAAAAACAAACAAAAAAAAAATTTCAGCCAACTGGCTTCTTGGGGGGGAGGGGGGGGAGGGAAGGGGAGGGGTCTGTGGTGGGAAGTTTATATACTTTGAGTGGGCTAAGTGCCTTTCTGTTACGTCGCAGCCTGTATAGAAGGGATTGAACACAAACCTCCCATCCCAAACTAATCCAACAAATATTTTACAGTTAGGGCCATGCTTTTGTTCCACATGACCAATGACATTTCACAAAGGCAGTGTGCTTGGTTTTTGCTAGCCCTGTTTTTCACAGTATTCAGTGGAGATGCAGAAAGGAAAACGACAAGAAGAAGCCAAGCTTGGCATTCGTAGGTCTGAGAGTGAGAAGACCACTGGCGGAAGAGGTCACTAGTAGCAAAAGGAGAAGCAAGCAAGAATGAGATGGGTCGGGTAACTGTGAAATACAAGAGAAGGAACGGGCAAGTCTGTAAGTCTTGAAGAAAGAGGGAGACAAGATACATTAGTAAGGGAGCTTGAAGGTCATTGGAGAAGGCAAACACCACTAAGGGTAAACCATAAAAAAGTAGATGCTAAGAAGAACGACTTCAGGAACACTAGAATGGGGAGAAACAGGCGATAGAAAGGAGAAGTTACAACCTCAAGAAGTGGGAAGGGACACACAAAAAGATCCCATTGACATCACCCACTTTACAGATTAACCCCATATATTTATTATTTAACTTATATGGTGGTATTGGACCTTACACTTGCTCCAATGCCACCTTATAAGACCCTAAGAGCCGAGACAGGGTTAAACATATCACCTCCCTATTCATTATTCCCACCCAACCCATTAGAGCTGCAGTCCCTGTTCAGTTGGAGTCAGAGTCAGAAGAATCTGCTGAGGAGGAGGAAGAGGAACTGGAACCAGACTCGTCATCATCCTCTTCTTCATCTTCCTCTTCTTCATTCTTAAGGAGAAAAGCAATATAAAATCAGTAACAAAATAAATATCGGTTATCCCCAAAATCCTAACCCTGTTACAGTCCCTTCTTACCTCTTCTGCATCATCACTATCTTCTTCACTGCTGGAATCAGACGAGTCACCATCCTCAGAGGATTCCTCCTTATCTTCGTCTTCATCATCGTCGTCATCATCCTCATCATCATCTTCGTCATCATCGTCATCATCATCCTCATCATCATCATCCTCCTAAAAAGAAGTCTACATGTTAGAACCAAACCACCATAAACATCCTTTATGAAGAAGAAGAAGAAGGGATGAGTAGAGACTGCCAAGACACAAATACCAGCCTTTGGAAGTCTGGTTGTTCTGAAAAAATTTTTATCATGATGTTTAGCCAGACCACATGTGCAGTCAAGCATGGATGAAAAAAAAAAAAAATAGACCAGTGCCAGTCTAACTAAATAGTGAAATAATAAAATGAATACTCAAATTTACTGCAAGTAAAAGCCATACTTGCTTATAGGGATGCAACAATAACAAGATCCAATACAAAAAAAATTAACAAAACCATTTCAAACAATAGTTTAAAATGGAAATCCAAAGGTCATACCATTTATGCTTCCTACAAAGTGCAAGGAAGTCCCTTGTACCTGGGTACTAACTGTCTTTGGCTTAGAACACACAATTTGCAAACATTTTTACTGCTAGAAAATCTCCACACTCACAGAAGACCGCAATATGTTCTACAACAGGACTGGTGCATGGCCTCTCTGAGTAGGTCCATAAAAGCCACCAGTGTTGGCCGTTAACAGGAGTGGTTGCATCTAAAACACTATGTTTTCTCATAGTTGCAGTTGCTGTCAAATCCATAATTCCCCTATTAAGAAGGGATATTTTCTGCACTTCCGATGGCATGGCTAGTATTTGCTGTAAGAAATCTTGCAGAATCATAACAAACATAATAAAATATATTAGTGTGCAGTAGGGGCAATTACCGTAGGTGTGTGGTTGTGCGTAGACTTTAAAGTTGGAACTGCTGGCAAGTCCACCTAATGCGGTCAAACCAGAAACATATTATTCCACATCTCCAGTCGGTGCGACTGGGACCACCAGGAAGTCTTCAAAGCTTATAAAGGTCCCTTATACCAGCAACTGTAATAAAGTCTATAAAACACTGATTATTATATACACACACATAAAAAAGTACTTACAGATTTGGAGGATACAGCAGCTTTGGTTTTGGCAACTGGCCCCTTAAGTTTTGTTGCGCTCTTGCGTTTCTGTTAAAAAGGAAGTACATTTTAGATATAATATAGATGCGCTAATCAGACTCATTTCTAGCTTGGCATGAAAAAAAAAAAACAAACACTCACATTAGATGACTGCTTCATGTATGCTGCCCGGTCTTGAGATGATAAACCCTTTAAAAAAAAAAAAAAAGAAAAAAAAATTAGTAACATTCTCTACTACTAATCTTGGCTTCTAGTGACTTTCTTAAAGCCAGTATTTCACATGATTGGAATGTTCATTATAATTGTGCCTGTTTATCCCCCCCCCCATATATACGCTACTATTAGGGCACTAAAGGGACACTGTAGGCACCCAGACCCTATCAGCTCATTGAAGTGGTCTTTGTGCCAACTCCCATCACCGTTAAGCCTGAGCATATAATCATTTCAGTTTTTTGTAAACTGCAATAATCACCTTGCAGGGTTAAGAAGTCCTCCTCTACTTCCAGGTTATTAACCCTTTTTGCACCACGGGGGAGGGCCTTGACAGAAGGGGAAGCAACAGTGCCAGGAAAACGAGTTTGTTTTTCTGGCACTATAGTTTCCCTTTAAATCAGTTATCTGAAAGTCCCTTAATTTCCCTTCTTGGGCTTCAGGCAAATCCATGTAAGAAGACTTCAGCCACAAACTGTTCCTGATCAAGCAACGGCTTTACGAGGCAATACCAATCCTTCAGTTGAAAGATAAATTATTGTACCAAAAAAAAAAAAAAAGAGAGAGAGACTTGCTCACCTTCATCCAGGAATCTAGCTGCAAACGGTAAGCCCTTTGCTGTTCCTCTGCTACTTTCTTATAGTATTCTTTCTGGCTTGGAGAAATCCTTTGCCAGCGGCTGCCAATCTCCACCATACGCTCTTTCAGGGGAAGGTGATTCAACTCTCCATTTGACAGAAGTTCCTGGGAGAACTTTTGGTACCCATTCCTAAACAGACACACGAAATAGGGGTATGGATGGGGAAGATAGTAGAAATAAAGAATTGGAAGTCGAGAGGAAGAAGAATGGAGAAACGAAGGATGTTGACACTTACATGGGGGCTTTCTTTGGTTCTCCTAGGAATTTGAGTTTTTTACCAGGTGCGGTTGTGGCGGGAACGGACCTCATGTCACTTAGCTCTCTCTATTGACAGAATGAAAATAAATAAATAAATAAATAAATAAAAATACACAGATCTAGAGACATCCAGATAACGGAAGAAGCTTCAGAGTGCCAGCATCATGAAACACCAAACCCACACGACCACATTTGTTTATGGTTTGCTGGCTTTACTGGTGGGCGGTGGGGACATTGTAGAGTGATCATATGTGCCACAAAGTACCTCATATCGCTTCTGGTCCTCGGCTGCTTTCTTAATCCACATAATCTTCTCTTTCTTTTCCATGTTCACCCAAGTGGATTCCATGCTCTTCAGGGCTTTAGCTCGGTCGTTCTGAATGAGAAGATTAAAAACGTCCTACGTTAGTTTCTACGTGTGATAGATCCAAACCCTCCTCTACGTCTCCCTCTTTAATAGACCACCAAATCACGAATAATGTATCTGTTCTCACCTTGAATCGAGCAAGGTAGTCCCCGATCACGCTCTGTTGCCAGATCTCTTCGGCTGTTTTGGGGGTCTCCGGGAGTTTAGCTTTCTCTTCTGCCTTCTTTTTTTCGGCTTGCGCCGATTTGCCTTTACCCTGCTTCAGGCAGCCAAAAAGAGCCCCATTAAAACAAAAAAAGTGCTCATACAACTGAGATTTTTTTTTAATTAAAAGCCATTATAACCACAATCAATCAATTATGAGACTGATCCTTCAACCATCTAAATGTGTACCCCAGCATGCCACTGAGCTGCTAATGAAGCTGAACCCTTGATGTCAATTAAAACATCAATCTTGGTGACAGAGACTTAAAAGAAGTCACCTTTGCAGCTTCCAGGGCCGCCAATTTTGACGCTGGACTGCCTACTGCCCTCTTGTTGAGACCCACCATCTTTTCTTCAGCCAGGACCCTCTGCTGTTCCTCTTCTGGGAGACTCTGCAAGACAGGTAAAGAGAATATTTTAATTTAGTATGGTTTGTATCATCTACATCAATTCTACAATTTTATGATGGCAATGCATTTTGTACATCAAAAGGCTTAAAAATACTCACTTCAAGGAAACGCAGCAATTCCACTTCATATTCTTTCTTTTTCTGCATAAATAAAAACAAAAAAGGGGGGGAATAAGTCAAACACACAAAAGGTACTTTCTTGCTTCTGGAACATTAAAATGTTATGTAAAATTTTTTATTTTTTTTATTTGTGCATTTGCAAATAAATTAATACTCCAAGCACCCTGGTCACTAAAGCCCAGTGTGGTGGTTATCGTTCTAGGGGTATCCTGGCGCTGTCCTAACTTAAGTAGTCTCATTGTTTTAGTACAGTTGGCACCCACAACCACAGCTCCTGGTGAGCAATGAGCCAATAATTGCAATTCTGAATTGACTGTGCTTTATTCTACAGAGACATTTGGTATCTCTTCCCAGGTAAGTTGTCAAACTCTACTAGAATGGTGTGGATACCTACCATGGGGCAGCACCCAGGTACTCCTGGCACCAAAGCCCATGCAGAATATTATTACACTTCCTAGAACTCCTGTCAAGCACTATTTGTAGGGTCCGGTCCCTTTAAAACACGTATGTTATGTAAAGATGAAAAAGTCATAGCATTTGGACAGCAAAGTATCATATTCCCAATACTGATTACAAGGACAAGAATGATTTGATCCCACTGCACATACGGAAAAGTTCGGGAAACCGTTTTCTTTGAAAAGAAGTCTCCTTCTACATTTTACTATAACACTAATAAACTTGTGAGATTCACTACCTAGGGCCCTGGTGACTGTAGTTACTATTTTTTTTTACTTTCAGATAAAACTGGATAGTTTGGAGACAAAGGAGTTTTGTGGTTTAAATGTAATAGAGGAGGTTGTGCAAGGGATTCAATTTAAATAAGTTGATAAGATTTTTCATTTTCCACTAGGGGGCAATTATGCCAATAGCTAAAAATCAAGGACTTGCCATTTATCTAAAAAAATTAAAATAAACAATTTGTTATATGTCCCTTATTTTCATCAGTGCAACTTTACCTGCTCGCATTTCTTGTGATAGGCATCCTTCTCCTTCTGGGAGAGCAACTTCCACTGCTGGCTGCACAGGACCATGCGTTCGGTGCTCGGGACATCTTTCATATTGGCCATGAGTTCAGCGCAGTACATGGAGTAACTGTTCCTATAATCAAATTAGACACTATTTAACATCAACTAGTAAACCAATTTTTGCATCTCCTTATCTACTATTTCCAGCTGCATTCCCTCCTCCTCCATCACCGGAACCAAGCCTTTTTGTCCCCTATCCCCCCGCCCCCCCCAAGACCAGTGTCTATTCCACTTAGATACACTGTGGAACACACCAACCATAACCAAAGATTTTTTTTTTTTTTATAGTATTTTGGGTCACAATTGCTTTATGGCCTGAAATTATTGCAGATTGTTCCATTCCCCCCAAAAAGTAAGGCTACAAGTGGGGATAAGCCCTAGGCAAAAAGTTATTGTCCATTGTTTCTCACTTTCAATAAGTATAATGGACCTGTGTTAAAATGTACTACTAAATGTACACAAACTTCCTAGAACTTTGCAGAGTTATACTTTCAGAAGTTATTGGCAGCGTCTGTGAAAAAAAAAATTAATTAAAAAAACAAAACAAAAACAACAACCCACATGACTTTTTCATACAAATTTACATCTATTTTCACAGTTCATTTCAGTTCCACCACCTTTACTCGATCATGGTGGCCTGTACGCTCAAAGCATGGCCTTTGCATTTATTTGCACATACAAAGCCTAGGCATCTTGTACAGATACTTACGGAGGGGGTTTGGTTGGTCGACCATCAAACTTGTCCTTCAGCTGACGCTCTGCCTTGGTGAGAGTGGAGCGAGTGATACCCTCCTCTGTAATATTCAGTTCTGGGTGCTTCTGCATATACTCCCGCATTACGTTCTGTGATGGTGGGATACCAGAGTGTTTACAGGTTTCTACAGCAAAGTATTACGTTCCAATTACATTTTATTTTCCCCACTAAACACTGGTTTGTGATCTTTGCCACTACGCACTTGTGTTCGGAAATCAATATTCTGAAGACTTGGCCCTACCCAAATGGAAGCAATTCTGGAGAAAGGTACCTTCCAGTAGTCACCAAAATCTTTCTACAGCAATTGCCCCAAATAGTACCCCATCTCATTCGATCTTAGTAAGACAACCATTATCAGGCAACTACAATATAGTTAAAACATAGAAACAGGCTAACATCAGATTATTTCCTAGCATGGGGTCAAATGGTGACCCCTTCCTGTTCTTAGACCGTTAAAATCAGTAGAGAGAAAGGCCTCACCTCATACAGCTTGCGTTGCTCAAGTGCTTTATGAATCCACTTTAGACGCTTCTTATCGGAAAGTTGAGACCACTGTTTGCCCAGAGCATCCTTCACATCCTTTGTGCTTGCCTGAAATCAGTCAACAGACAGGGAATGAATATCCTTCCACCCAAGAACAACCAATAGACCTGTGTACATTGTCCAGACAAAGGATGGTCCCCACTCATCCACCATCTTACACACACAAGGTTTGTCCACTTATTCAATCATCTAAAAGCAATATTCACACTCACATCTGGTCGCAACTTGAGGTAGACCTTTCTTTCGTGGTTGTACCAAAGTTGCTGTGGAGTTTTCGGTTTTTCTGGGACGTCCGACTTCTTTGTGGTCTGCATGAGGTCTGGGTGCTCCTCTCTGTGGCAGATAAAAGTGAGCAAGTTAAAGTGAGGTTCTTTGCTACAGTGGTGTTTTCTAAACTACGAATGTCCACCCGACTAGAATTTTTTTGGGGCTAGTTCTTCCAAAACAAAATCCTAATCCACACCTGAACAAAACTGAGTTGCACAGAATTTATCAATGAACTGGTCAAAATGAATTTTTGCGATTTTCACTTACCTGAACCTGGCCAGGTTCCTTTCAAAGTCCACCTTTTCTCTTTGGAAATCCTGGATGTATTTCCCCTGAAATAGAGGGAAAATAGGAATTAACATCACACATCAGGAATACAAACTTCATGCTGTTACGTTTCCCACCTTCGTGTCAATCATTAGCCATTGTCCTGGAAGCTTTTGCCATGAATTTAGTTATTCGTACAAGAGTGCTCATAATTTCCACTCAGCCATTAGTCATGGGCGGGTGGAAACCCCAAACGAGTGTGCCATTGTCCCCCACTGGTTTGAGCATGCCCAGTTGTTTTTTAAAGCAGCAGCTTACTGTAACAGTGGCGAAACGGTTGATATCTGCAGTAATCACGAGTGGTGTTAAACAACAGAGTGATGTCCCAGCCGTATAAAATAAAAAAAATAAAAATAAAAAATGCCTACCATCAGCCACCCAATGCAATTCTGCATCAAACGCCCTGCATACCTATCAGACAGGCAAACATATTTATTGCATGGAGAGATCATAACGAAGATAATATCTCCAGGAAATATGTATAGGAATATAAAAAATAAAAAAAAAATATATATATATATATAAAATAAAAAAAGATAATTGTTAAATCACAGTGAAGCTGATGTAGGGGTCCCCTAAGGTCTGTTATTAACGTTTAAATCATGTACTACAAGCCTGGACTTTTATCTGTACCTTGTACTACCCATATTTCTTGGAAATGTATAGCTAAAAACTTATTCGGTTTTATTTTTTCCGTTGCACCCGAGTGTACGTCTGCTAGCAGATATCCTCCATCCTGTCCATTCTGTGTCTCTGTATTTTATCTCACACAGTTGAATTTGTTCAGATAATTTAAAGATTCCTGCTCACCTTCTTTTTCTCGGGCAATTCTTTGTACTTCTTGGACAGGATCTTCGTTAAGTCCAAGTTACTCATTTCTGGGTGCAGTTTGGCGTACTTTGCCCTTTTCTCCATGAAAAAGCGAAAATATGGAGTCAATGGCTTCTTTGGAAACTCGGGGTGTTTCTGTATAAAAACCAGATCACAGGAATCAGAAAAAGGACGTTGAATAAGACGGTACAATTTCATGAAGATTTTCAAATTAAGCCAAATAGTTAAATGTTAAGTTTTTATGGAATTATATGAGAAAAGAGAATCTTTTTTTTTTTTTAAGTGAAGCAGATCAAATTATCTTTTTAATATTTCCCACCTTGAGCAGTCGCTATTCCTGCGGTTATCACAGATCTATAAAAATGTTGATCTTCATGGGGATAGTTAGTTAGAAAAAAACCCAAAAACTTTTACTGGTAGTTACCTTCAGCTTTTTGCCTTTGTATGGATTTTTAACATGCTCCTGTGCATCCAGTATCAGTTCTGTAAGCGTACGAAACTTCCTGACCTAAAAACAACGAGGTAATGAGTGCAACATTTGTAAACGCTATATATTTCGAAACTGGGTGGCCTTCTGTGGTAGGAGTTCTATGGTATACAGTGTCGGAAAATGTGGACAACATCCTAATCTCTGCAGACACTTCAATGAAATGTCTCCATTCTGAGAAAAGAACTGGTAGGAAATTCTTTATTTTTTACCATGTCAAAACAAAATATAAACAAGGTAAATGGATTTGCAACAGGTCAGTACAGATAAAAACTAGACTGAAGACAATAAAAAACCCAAGAAATTAACAGCAAGGCCACAAATTACTCTGAAAATGGTGGCAAGTCTAGCTAATAGGTCCTGACTACTGGGTTACGGTACATAACTACTAACATGGCCAAGCAAAGCAAAATCTTATCAGTATGCTAATTTGCTTCTATTGGGGTGCCACACAAACCCATTAAAATCTATCATGGTCGTCGAGACTGACCCAAATGACCTTGCCCTGTAAGTTTCTAAATATCACCCAACGAGACAATATACCCAGAACTCTATCTCATTACCTCCATGGAAATGTCAATCCATTTTTTTCGACACATAGGTCCAGAATAATTTTTAAAGGCCAACTTGCTCCAGTCCAAGTGGGACTCGGTGGTCTTATACTTGGAATTGTCTTGTGGAGGCAGAATGGTCTTCATTGCCTTCAGAAGGGTAAGCATATCTTCTTGTGACCATGGTTCTAGAACGAGAAGGATAACCGGTGTCAGCCCGAACAATTGATGGAGGAAACAGACTGAACTTGTTATGAAGATACAAAAACCATGTTTAAAGACAGTAACTGTGAATTGTTATTTTGTTAAGATGCAGGTACAACTGTCATCTTTATCAACATAACCCAGTCTTAACACACACATGGAGCCACCATATTGTACATGGCAGACTTTTTTTTTGTGTGTGAAAATTGCTGACTGTGACATGCTTGTAACTCCTGGATTTTTCTGGATTTCCAAGAAGCACCACTAGAGTGAGCCATTGGCTTGCTAGTATACATAATTTAAATTGTAGGAAAAAAAATGACTTCATGTGAATTTTAACACTGAAACCTTCACTTATTAGTATGCGTTGAAAGGCACAGACTGGAATAGATGCAGTGAAATTATGGACCAAAGGATGGACAATTCGGGCAACTGAGAAGTCCTGCTCGCACAAACTTGCAACCTCAGTAGTATTCACGTGCACAGGACAAACAAAATCAATTAAAAGATCAATGGAGAGTCATGCAAAAGCAGTGTTATATTTAAAAAAAACAAAAGTAGCGGGGACTATTATTAAACCCTTTCTGTGTGGACAGCAGTGGTGAAAGGAGAACCTCTTCACTGTAAGAATAGTGGGTCAAGGAAAGTAGGAGAGTGAAGGTGAATTAAGCGATGGGGTATGCTTACCTTGATCTTTAGGCGCTGTCATGGTTGAAGAGTTAAGTCTGCCTGTCGATCCGTTCATGCTCCACTGGGCGAATCTTTATCAGCAGTCTTGGAGACACTGTTAGGGAGAGAAGAAGTGGTGGGGTTAAGGTGGCACTGTCACTTTGCAGGTTTTGTCGTTAAACTAATCCCTTTTTTGTCCTATTTCCCCTTGCTTTTAGAATTCACTATAGTTAATCTAAAGAATGGACTACTTTTCTTATGTCAACTACGATCTTTGTCAATGGGTGGAGCTGAAGCAACATTCCATTTACGAGCATTTTTACCCACAACGTATCAGTCAAACTAATCCAACAACCGGCGAAACTGCAGAACCATGGACATAAGACAACAAAACGGTGGCGCACAGGTATTGAAATCTGGCACAAAAAAGAGAATATAAATAAGCAAGTGGTAACGCAGACCAGTTGTAGTGGATATGGTGTCAGAAGTGCCCTTACAACCTCCCACCAGGGTTAGTTGTCAAAGGGAAACCATTTTTGGCCCTCAGAAGTACAGCGAGGTCTCAAGTCCAGAGCCCCGTAGTGGATGCAGATGCACCCAACCGCCTCTTGGCTTTGTTTTGGGTGAGATTGTTAATGCTTTTTCACTTTAAAGTGAAATTGGATAACATGATTAGACTTGACTGTTTAGTGCAAACAAGGTTGTTTTTTTTTTTTTTTTTTTAAATGATTTTATTCTTGTAAGGCAACATTGTATCTGAATACTGGGAGAGCTACAGGGGTGCCAAACCAATAGTTTTTAACAATGCCATGGCATGATCCACAGGACGTACTTGGAAAACAGAGTAATCTAATGGTACCTTTCCTGGTTAAATAGCTTGTTGTTATTATTTAGGCAATAAACCCCAATAAAGGTATTTCTATGGGTTTTTTTCTATGAGTGTGAGATGAACACAGCTTCTTTGCTACATTGAACTGTATCCTCTGTGTGTACAATGTATTGGCCCAATAATTGCAGACTTGCCAAAACAGAAACATTATACTGTATATAACACATTCTTTGTGGCCTCTACACAGCCAGAAAGTCGAGAAGGGTATCCTTTGACTATTTTAAAACTGTACAGTACTAAAAATATATATCAATAAATAAATTAAGGGTGGTAGTAAGAAGCTGATAGATGTAATCTAGTTTATTCACAGAACTCCAAAGTGTAGTGAGTAGAAGAAAAAAAAATATTTAGCAAAAGATTTTTCTACAACTCTGTGAAAATGAGTTCCTTCTTCAGTCGATAAACCCCTGTGCCTGTTTTAAAGCAGACAGCTTGTCACTGCTTAGTAAATCAGTGATCTGCAGATTAGAAAAACACATCTTATCTATTTAAACCATGAAATCGTCCAATAGCACATATTAACGTCACATGTCACTCTACAGCAGTACAGTCAGACCCCCAAGGAGGATCACCACATTGCACCCATTAGACACAAATGGCCTGGCTGGAATTGATGGGAGTTGTGGTCCAGTAGCAGACTGGGGGATTTACTAGATAAACCTTTCCATACTGTGTTATAAATAGTCCCCCTATCCCCCCCCCCCGGGTAGCCTGAGGTCACTGCCCCCCCTTTTTCTGCTGTAGCCTGTAGGGGGCCCCCTCCTCCCTCTCCGCCCAGTACCGGGAGGGACGGGATCCGGAAGGGGAGATGGGATCGGGGGGGGGGAGGATCTTACAGTAACCGGGGGCCGAGTTCAGCTCCCGGGGTGCTCGGCATTGGGGGGTCCCGGGGTCCCCGCACCCTCCGGGCTGGCGCTCTGCCGATACCGAGGAGACGGATACCGGGAATCCATCCATCCCCACCCTGGGAACCCCCTCCCGAGCTTCCCGTCTGTACCGAGGATCCCCCGGTGCTGGTGTTACCCGGGGAGCTGGCCCTAGCTTCGGGACCCACCCCGGTACGGTACCACCAGTCCCGGTCGCGGTTCGGTACTACCAGCCCGGTCCCGGTTCGGTATTCTATCGACCCCCCCCCCCCCGGTCCGGTATCACCCCACTCCGATCCCGGATTCTATCGATCCCGGTCCGGTATCACCCCCGGTCCCGGTTCGGTATTCTATCCCCCCGGTCCGGTACCCGGGTCACCCTCCCCGCACCCCGCTCCATGCATCCACTACCCCCGGGCCGCGCTCACTGCTCTCCCCGCCCTACCCCGGGGGGTTCCCGGGAGCGGACCACGTGCTCCACCGCCCAGCGGGGCCGCCCAGCCGCTCTCCCCGCCAGCCAGGCACCCGAGCTGGGCCGGCCATGCCGCGTGGTACCGCTCCCCACCCCCCGGGGATCACAGCCCACCTTCCCCGGGAAACCCCTCACCCACCCCGGGGAGAGCAGGGCAGGCAGCGCCGCGTGTCACCCCGGAGCCCGGCTCACCTTCCTCCCCAGGGGACACCCAGCTGCCCGGCCTCACCTTCCGGCCGCCTGGAGGAGGAGGAGCCCGAGGGGGAGAGCGACCTCACCAGCCCCGGCGCGGAACTAGCAGCCTGGCCGGGAAAACAAGCGGCAGCCGGGGAGGAGGGGGAGCGGGGACCCGGGGCTAACCGGCAACCTCGCACGCAGCCCGGGCAGCCCGCCCCCATCGCTCCCGAACCCCCAAACAGCCGGGAAATCATTAATCACATTTTACCGATTTCACCCGAAATGCTCGAAAAAAAAAAAAATGTATAAAAAAAAAAATAAATAAATAAAATTCTCGATCTGCGTCGAGTAATCGGCGAATCTGACGATAAATTTCAATAAAAATTCGATGAAAATGTGGGTTCGGCTCCGGGTGGAGGGAGACCGGGGCGCGGCGGGCACAGTGACCGGAATAGGGTGCGTGCTCCCCGGTAGCCGCAGTCGAGATTCCCCGGTCCCTGGAGGTGACCTCGATGGAAGTCTTCTCGGAGCCGCCCGCCGCCCCCCAGCCCGGCTCTCCCCGCGATCCAGCCCCGGATCCCCCGATCGAAAGAGGGGGAAAAAAAATTAAATAAAAAATAATAAATCCGATTAATCGATCCGGGTTACCGGGGGGACCTCAGCCCGCTCCCCGGCTTCCCTCACCCCAATCCCCGCTCACCTTCCCCCGGATTCTCCGCTTCCCAAGGACAATGAGGCAGCCGGGCTCCAGCGGCCGGATCTCGGAGACAAAGCAGCTGCAGCAGCCCCTGGGTAATGGCGAGCTCCGGGGGAGGGGGGGCGCTGCCTGCCTGCTCCTTCTCCCCGCCCAGCGTCGCTGCAGCAGCAGCGGGCAGACAGAGCGAGGGGAGCCGCCTCCTCCTCCTCCTGCACCCTACACAGCCCGGCAGGGGGGCCCCAACAACAACCCACCTTCCTCCGGGGGTCCTCTGCTTGAATGACGGCCAGGACTGCAGCGCTGGCCCCGGGCGTGGACTAGATCCAGTCCCCGCAGAGCTCGCTCGCTCTTGCCCCCGCCTCCATCGCTCCAATCAGCCAGGCTCCCTCCATCCTCGCCCTGCAACAGGCTCCAGCTGATCCCCACAGCCCTCCCTCCCTTCCTTCCTTCCCTCCATCCAGCCCCGACATTCCACCCAGAACCCTGAGAGTTCCATTGGAACCCGCTGGATACATTGCAGAGCCAGCCCCAGCCAGGACATGGAACCCCAACCCATTCCACAGCAACAAGGGGGACTGGGATCTGGGGCTGCTTGCTGAGGATCTAACACATACAAAGCACTTGGGAGATTTTACTCCCAGAGATAATTAATTTTTTTTTTTTCTCTCTCTCTTTTCCTGTTTTATGTTATGGCTTTTTAAAAAAAATTTTATTTTTTTTGAAAAAATGTTTTTTTTCCTTTCCTCAAATGGTATTTATTGGGTTTTGTTTTTTTGTGATGGACTCCACCTTTGTTGTTCAAGGCGTCAAAGAGAGAGGACCAATCGTGTGAACACACCAGCGAGCTGTGATAGAGAAGTGGGGTTTTAAGAGGCAGGTTTGGGAAGGGAGTTAGAAAAAACTGAGAATATCTTGCAGGGATTGACAGGGACTGCTGGCTGGGGATCATGGGAGATGTAGTTCGCAGCAGTTGGAGGACCAGTGGTTAGTACAAGCAGACACTACCTAGTCCACTGTCCAAGATATGTTTTTTTTTACATAAATGAAAGGGGGGGATCCTTAAATTAGAATATTAGGGATCAAGCTCTGATTACAATATACAAAATGAACATCACTCACATACATAATAAATAATGTGTTTTTATTGATAGAACCGGTTAGATCAGAGTCTCCTCTGCAGAATTCTCTTCCTTCAATCGAGTAAATGGGTCCATAGCAAGGTTTGTGCCAGCCTGGTAGAAATCGAATGATCACCATGGAAACAAGTGGAATGTTTATGTTAAATGTATCACGTTTAGAATCTTGCCCCAGATATACAAGCAGGAAATCAATAACACATTCTTAGCAAATAGCTTGCTAGTGCTATACAATATTTATCTGTCAAAAAATAATAATAAAAGGTCTATAGGATTTAAGCAATTCGATATGTTTTCCATAAAATGGCTGTATGAACCAATCACACGTTGATATGCCCCCACTGCACCCCTGGCACAGTAATGCCATGCCCCATCTGTCCCACCAATCCCTTCACAAAAGACTGTTCCCAATCCAACCCTTTCTTATAAAAATCATTTTCCTTCCAAATAAAGCTGAGAATCCCAGGATTTTCAAAGTCTGTGATCAGATCCTCTTATTTAGAGACCTGCTGGATTCTCACTGCTGTGCTGTCCATTGCAGGATACTGAGTGGTGGAGGAGCTTAGAGAGAATATGTTTTTTTTCCAGTGAAATTGACAGCACAGCCCAGTTCCTGCAGCAAACTCAACCCAGATGATGATATCATAGCATTCATCAATTACCTGGTGTTTGGCTCCACCTACAGATGGAGAGAAGTACTGCAGCGTGTAATAGAACGCGTTACAGACAGACAGGCTTGCTTTGTGTGTTCTGTAACGCCTTATCATGTCAGAAAACAGATGAATGCTCTATAAAACTCACTTTCTCCTTTTTTTTTTTATTCCATACAGCTTTTTCCATTGCTTAAAGACACAGTCTAAGTACCATAATAACTGCAGCCTGCTGGATATGGTGCCAATAGAGCCCTCGTGCACTCCTAGAGTAAGTAGTTAAACCGTTTAAGAATGGTTTGACAACTTACCTGCATCCCGCTGGGTGCCCTCCACCACCTCCCCTGCTGCCAGAAGCTTCTGTCACTGAACTAAGCCTGGTTACGCACTTGATGCACAACCATTGAATGCTGCCGGGCACAGTAGGGGTTAACTCAGTGGAGCTAATTAGAAGCTTCCAGCACCAGAGGAGGTGGCACTGCGTACCTGGTAGGACCCAGGTAAGTTGTAAAATCGTTAAAAGGCTGACAAATAACCAAGAGGGTCACAACTGTTGCAGGGTCACCTTTGTTGGTGACTTAATAAAGACATCTATGCAGTGAATACTAGAACTGGTTGTCTATATTAGTGCTGACGATTCTAGAGGTGGGTTTCTGTTGACCGTGGTTCTTGTAAATATTCAGAGCTCAGTAAAATCTGGGTGTCTGGGTCCAGTAATCCATATAAGCAGGAACTACCAGAACAATACCACCAATGAAAAGATGGCCAATATTACTCAATTCTGTTAAAACTGCAAATGTAATTGTCACCCAAAAAAAAAATTAAAAGCACATTATACTAAACTAGTAGGACATCGTTTCTGAACTGAAAAAGGAATAGCTTAAAACATTGTGTATTATAACTTGTTCTCTGGTTTAAAGGAATCAAATAGCCACACAATTGCTAACAGCGGCTTCCAAAGTGGAGTCAAAATGTTTTACTCAAAGGGGCATTCTAAGCACCATAACCACCACAGAGACCTATGGGCTATTATGCCATGTGTCCCCTGACTCTGTCCCACTGTTAAGTGTCAAGCCGTTTTCAAATTGTTTGAAACTCACCTGAGCCCTCTTTGCACAGGTATCACTAAAGAAGAAGGCTCCATTCTTCTTAAAGGAACACTATAGGGTCAGGAACAGAAACATGCACCTGACCCTAATGTGTAAAAAACACCTTTATTCCAGTCTGCTGGTGCTGGTTCTGCCCTTGGTCTGCCTCCTTGGCTGACATCATCAGAAGTGGTTTTCTGGGTTAATCACAATGCTTTCACATAGAAAAACATTGGATTAGCTAAATTTGTCAAAGAGGCAGATCATAGGAAGAGCCAGCACAAGCCAAACACAGCCCTGGACAATCCGCATCTGCTCATAAAGATACATTGAATCAATGCATATCTATGAGGAAAGTTCAGTGTCTGCATGCAGAGGGTGGAGACATTGAATGTCAGTCACAGTGTGCAGCACTGCCCCAGGAAGCTCCTATAGCAAGCATCTAAGGAGTGGCCAGTGAAGTTATCACTAGGCTGTAATGTAAACACTGCGTTTTCTCTGAAAAGACAGTGTTTACAGCAAAAAGCCTGAAGGTAATGATTCTACTCACCAGAACAAATTCAATAAGCTCTAGTTGTTCTGGTGATTACAGTGTCCCTTTAAGTAATATGAATTTTGGCCAACCATGGATAAAATTCATTAGCTGAGTGATGTCAACTGATGCATTCATCAAATTTCGTCGTCTAACATCGGACAGAATTCATGCTGTTAAACCATAAGTTGCTCTTCAGTAATATCTGTGAAGAGGGTGAGACCCCAGGCGAATGTGGGATTCTGGTAAACAGTTTGACTCTTAACAATGAGTCAGAAAATAAATAGGATCTGAAATAAACTGTGAATTTGGACCAATTGCTTTCTTTTCTTTTCAAGTCTCTAGCATGAATTTCCATTTTTCTCTGCATAATCCTACCCTGCTCTACAATAACGTCTTCTGGTTGGTTTAAACACTCTCTATACACTCTATATCTAATGAATTAGTATAAGCCTAGATTGCAAGGTTCATCAGCTGAAGACGCATGCCTTAGCGTGCGGGCCCCAGTGCAGCTTCCCCAGCGGCAGTTCCGACGCTGTCCTGGGGTTCATATGGATGTTACTTTAACATGTACCCAGGATCTACGCTACTGCTAGTGAAACCTAAGGTGCAGCTAGTTTTCCTCCCCTGGCGGCTGGCTTTTTTCGCCAAAGCAGATTAGGCAGATTGGTTGGCCTAAAAAATAATCAGTATAAATAAAATTAATTTGTGTGTGAGAGAATGTGCATGTGTAAGAGAGTCAAATCAGTGAGAGTGTGTGTGTTTGTCAGAGATTGTATCTGTCAGTGTGTGTCAAATGAGTGAGTGAGTGTGTCTGTCAGTTAGTGTGTGTGTTTGTTAAATCAGTGAGGTATGTCAGAGCATATCTGTCAGTGACTATGTGTATCAGTGTATATGTATCTCAGAGTGTTTGTCTGTCAGTAAGTGTGTGTGTGTGTGTGTCAGTCAAAGAGTGCTGGTTAAACAGTGTGTGCACCAATGATTGTGTCTGACATACACTCACTGACACACAAACCCACTGACAGCATATGCGTATCAGTGAGAGTGTAAGTCTGTAATTTAAGATGTTTGCCAATGACTGCGTGACTGTCAGTGTGTGTATGTCAGTGCATGTGTACCAGTGACAGCGTAAGGGGGCTTTATTTGATTCTTGCAGAGGGGCTGTGTGACTCCAAGTTACTCCCCATAGCGCAGCCTCTCATCCAGGCCGGCTTCCCCATACACCGCACTACTCCCAAGATGCACTGTTGTGAATAGGGCAGACAAAGTTGTTTTCCTGGCACTATAGCTGCATATAGTCCCCCCTCCTTCATGACCCCCTCACCTGTTGTGCAGAAGGGGTTAAAAAGAAGGGGTTAAAAACCCCTTCTGTCACTTACCTGATTCCAGCGCCCATCTCACTCAGCGCTGGTTCAGGCTCCGCCTCCACTCCTCCCCTGCCAGAGAGAGGACCTAACGCTCATGTGCAACAAGCACTGGCTTGCATTAGGACTTCCCCTAAAGGAAAACATTTTATATGCTTTCCTATGTAGATTTGTCTGTGCTGCAGGATGTTCTCATGCATAGAAACATAGAATGTGACGGCAGATAAGAACCATTCGGCCCATCTAGTCTGCCCAATTTTCTAAATAATTTCATTAGTCCCTGGCCTTATCTTATAGTTAGGATAGCCTTATGCCTATCCCACGCATGCTTAAACTCCTTTACGGGGGCGTGGCTGGACGCGGAGAAAGATGGCCGCTTGAGTCTTTAGCTCTGCACCACGAGCTAGGCGAAACTAAGAATAAGGGAGCACCCAGCGGGGTAACTCGAGCCGAAAGCGAGATGTCGCAACCCAAATCCCGGCGACAACAAGACAAGCTCGACAAAACCACGTGGAGACCAAAATGGAGGACTTAATTGTCGCACATAATGCATCGACTGAACAAATCAAATCCCTCTCATCCCAATTGCAGCACTGCGAAACCAAGATTATGGACCTCGAGGACAGATCAAGGAGAAGCAACATTAGACTGAGGGGCATACCGGAGACTATTCTCCAAGCAGACCTTCCCAGCTACGTGCACGGCCTTTTCAAAGCTCTGGCCCCTGAGGTCCACACGGACATGTTGCTATTAGACCGCCTACACAGAATCCTGAAACCCCAACAAATAGCGGCTTCACTACCCAGGGATGTTTTGCTGAAAGCCCACTATTTCCACGTGAAGGATCTATTAATGCGGAGGAGCAGGACGGCGAAAGACTTACCGATGGAATATGCCGCGATCAAGATGTTTTCTGACCTTTCCGCGGCCACCCTGAGACAACGCAAGACCTTCCAGCGGGTAACGGAGACCCTCCGAGCCAACCACATTCTGTACCGCTGGGGTTTCCCGGTTCGCCTCATTGCCTCAAGAAACGGGACAACCACGACCATCCACACGGTGGAAGAAGGGCTGGACCTCCTAAGACAATGGAACTTACCCGTGGTAGGGGACTCTCAAGCTCCCAAGGGCCCGCGCCAAGTGGAGAAAGACTGGCATACTACCAACTAACAACTTACCGCAAGTATCCCCGCTCCGGCGGTATATGACTGTATTTCAATTACAACCCATTTAACAACCATCCTACCTAACAGCATCCGTGCGATGGATGCTATAAGCTGACAATACCATAATGACATGCACTGTAATTATTCATGTATAACTGTACTGTAATTGTTATGTATAAGTGTTTGGCAGAGCAGTATAGCATATGCCCTATATAACTTAAAAACTCAATGTGGGCTTGACAAGGTGCCGCAGAAGCATAATAGAAAATATGGCCGGTATAGGGTGCTGTACCGTCAGTGTTCAGGAGGTTCACATAGTTTAACACGTGGGCATCGTTATTAACCACACACATCAATCAAGGAAGGTACATATGACTCACGTACAACCCGTAAGCATAGCTAAGCTAGGACTGGCACATCGATTACTAAAGTGATGAGCCACGACATGTTGCAATTTTGTGGGAACGCTAGATTAGTGTTTGGCACCAAGTAGGGGCCTCCAACCCCCCCTCAGCAGGGAGCTGGAACATGAGACAATAGACTGATTGATTTTTATGTGAAAAGCTGTAAATTAGATTAACCCGCACAACGCCTATACGAAACGCTGGTAACCAGCCTTCTGCCAGTACACAATCTCCAAAAAGCATGGACTGAGCTTTAGGCAGCGCTCCAGGGTAAACCTACATGAGGATTGGACGGAGTGCGGAGTTATGTCTCTGTAGATCTGATATAGTATACACAATATTAAGCCGACAACCAGGGTTAGATGAAACTTAGTAGCCATCTGATCCTTCGGTACGCAACCCATGTGTTCAAGATATATACTTATGTACAATCGCCACATTGCATGGTTGTGTTTGAAATAGGGGTTGTTGGAACAGAGTCGAAGCGAAGCTCAACCCGAGCACTAATAATGATATGGAAATTGTATGTGAATGGTGTCTTACAGTGGGAACTACATAAGGGCCGAACACAGACACTAAAGCCCTCCACACTCCCAAGCTAATGAGGCGGACACATTATCTACCCATTCTGCCATCTATTGACATCCGCTCCATAGGTGAACCTCCCAGACCAAGTCGCATGCATTAATGTGACTTTAAACCTTATGCACACACGGAAAGCACTGTAGTGAATCCCTGGTCTCCTACCGTACTAGTCAAGTCTGCCCATGCGGCACCGGTCACAGCACTAATTTTTCCCCCCCCTCTCTACAAGAAAATGTCACCCTGCGGGGACAATACATCTACTCCCGCTACATAGAAAAGAGTGCTCATTCTGGAACCCCTTGTGGTTTTGAAACAAGGGGCCCTGTCGATTGGTGTTATAAGTTGTCTGAGCAGCACTTTAACATTTAGCCAGCTCAGGCCACGATTGTCCACCACTCCGATCCCATGCCCCCCACGGCGCAGCACAGGCGCGCCTTGCACCGAGATCGGTTTCATCTGTATATACTTTTGTTAGATGTTTGTTACCCTACCCACCACCACCCCCCTACTTACCCAGTTATATTCCCAGGCACAAAGCTGAGCACCCAAAAACTTGCCACAAGCATGGCATACCTAGGTACTTCATCTCATCCTCTCCTTAACCTATGTATAATGGGATACTTGCACCCAAATAAGGCACTCACTTGCTTACCTAACAAGCTCACCCGCAACTCACTCTGAAGATCTATTCCCACAACGTGAGGGGACTAAATATGCCCCATAAAAGGCACATGTTACTCCAAGAGGCCCGCAAGCTGAAGGCAGACATACTCTGTCTCCAAGAGACCCACTTCGCCAAGGCTAATACGCCCCACTTTGGCATGAAACACTTCCCCCACCAGTTCCATTCATCCCACTTATCCAAATCCAGAGGAGTGTCCATATACATCCACAACTCCGTTGCCTTTGAATTGCTACAGAGATTCTCAGATGACAAGGGAAGGTATCTGATAGTTATCTGCTTATTGAACGATGCAGTCTACACAATAGTAAACGTGTATGCACCGAATGAAAACCAACGTAATTTTCTGTTTAGTATCCTCACGAAAGTGGCGAAGGTACAAAGAGGAACCACAGTGATATGTGGAGACATAAACCACGTCTTAGACCCCCTTCTTGATACTTCTACGCCTCCACAAGCCTCTAGACACAAATCCCTCAAACCGCATTGCAAAAACCTGACACAGTTATTGCTCAAGTTCAATTTATATGATAGCTGGCGAACCTTCCATCCTTCAGAGAGAGGATACTCTTACTACTCTAAACCACACAAGTCATTCTCCAGAATAGATGTGTTACTCGTACCAGGCCCTTCACTTAACCTAATCCAATCATGTGTTATGGGGGATATCCTGTGGTCTGACCATGCACCTGTGATAGCAACTTTAAAAGATGATTTTAGATACCGAGGTTGTAACCCCTGGAGATTAAATGAATCGCTTTTACAGGATGAACAGTTTAAGTTAGAGATAGAAACCGAACTCACACACTATTTCTCCACTAACGACATACCAGAAACGAGTCCCACGACAGTATGGAGGGCCCATAAGGCTGTAGTACGGGGCCTGTTCATAAGGCGTGCCTCGCACCTCAAAAAGATCTCCCAGGCTAACTCCCTACACCTCCTTAGGAAATTGAGAGATGCTTCCGCAGCTCACATGGTTAATCCAAACCCACAAGATGCGGAACTTATAACACGGCTCCAATCGGAACTGAATGACATTAACATAGCCAAAACGACACGTACCCTACATAGGCTGAAAACGAGAGAATACTGCATGGGCAACAAAGCGGGCTCGCTTTTAGCAAGTAGACTCCGAGACGCTCAGGCCCACACCAAAATATCCCACCTATTTTCTCGAAATGGGGATAAAATCATCAAACCCCAAGACATCAGTAACCATTTTGCAGAGTTTTATGGGAAACTCTATAACCTCAAAAATGACCCTACTGTGCATCAACCCACAGAAGGGGAAATAGCTAGTTTTTTGGACAAAATTAATCTGCCCAAATTGACAGACGAGCAACGATCCTCTTTATCTAAACCCATCTCCCAATTGGAACTGGAAACAGTAATACAAAACTTGCCACATAACAAAGCCCCAGGTCCAGATGGCCTACCAAATTTGTATTATAAGAAATTCTCCTCCACTCTGGTCCCCAGGTTAGTGTCGCTCTTCACATCCACCACTACACTAGAATCCATCCCAGCAGACATGCTCGCGGCTAATGTGGCCACATTACCCAAACCAGGAAAACCACCAACCCAATGTGCTAACTTTCGACCAATTTCGCTACTCAACTCTGATGTTAAAATCCTTGCTAAAGTATACGCTAACCGCATGTCAAACATAATCCCACACATCATCCACTCTGACCAAGTCGGCTTCGTACATGGAAGGCAGGGGACAGATGGAACACGCAAAGCCCTTGCACTACTACACACTATGCACAGACAATCTCCTCAAAGTCTCTTATTATCCCTTGATGCAGAAAAAGCCTTCGACCGCCTGCATTGGTCATTCTTGCGGGCGGTCCTGGCCAAATTTGATTTCCCCATGCACTTTATCTCAATAGTCAAATCCCTGTATAGCAACCCCGAAGCTAGAGTTTTCACCTCGGGATTTCAATCCGCACCTTTCACTATTACTAATGGCTCTAGGCAAGGGTGCCCCCTATCGCCCCTCCTATATATCATGGCCCTAGAACCCTTGGCCGAGGCTATCCGCATGGAGAAGGAGATCAAAGGGATTAGGGTGGGAGATAGCGAGCACAAACTGAACCTTTTCGCGGATGATGTTCTGCTCACAATCACTGAACCACACACATCCCTGCCAAAATTCCACGCCATATTACAGGAATATAGCAAATGTTCATATTATAAATTAAACCTTTCCAAAACACAAGCCATGGGAGTGGGGATGGACAGTGCGTACTTGTCGGCATTAAAGAAACAATTCTCCTATGACTGGAGGGATGACCATCTGACTTTCCTAGGGGTAAAGCTCCCACATAACTTGTCCAACCTATATAACATAAACTACGTTAAACTCAGCAAGGAGATCACTGCTTTGCTTCACAACTGGGGAAATAAATTTATCTCATGGTCGGGGCGCATAGCAGCGGTCAAAATGGTAATTTTGCCCAAACTACAATATCTGTTTAGAACACTCACTCTACAAATACCAAGGGCTTATTTCATGGCACTTCAGAAACAGATTAATCTTTTCATTTGGCAGGGGAAACGACCCAGAATAGCCATAACCACACTATACCAACCTAGGAACAGGGGAGGAATGAGTCTACCCAATATACAACTGTATCATAGAGCAGCAGTGCTGGCTAGCCTCCTCCCCGCCGCCCAGGAGCGGGACAGGCCACAATGGGTGAAGCTAGAACAACATTGGCTACAAAACCAAGAAATAGACGCATTAATATGGCTATCCCCGAAGAACAGGGGAAACACAACACAGGTACTCCCAACCACCCTAGCAATGCTGAAAATATGGGACGCATCGCGTAAATTTCTATGTAGCAATTATCCGATTGCCCTCTCTACCCCTATCAAAGCTCTAGCTTGGGAAATACCAGATTTTAACTACAGGGTCTGGAACAGATGTGGTGTACTTCACCTACATTCTCTCTTCAACAAGGGGAAATTAGATACATTTGATCACATGAAAGAGACCTACACGTTACCCAACACGGCGTACCACTCATATATGCAATTAACATCTTGGTGGAAATCCAAAATACAAACTTTCAAGCCCCAAACCACCCCTGAGTTAACAGAGTTTGAGAAACTTTTCATGGCGGGTAAACAGATTAAAAAACCCATATCCACCACATATGCCCTGCTGTTATCTAGACGTGAGGTTAAAACTCTCCCCTTCGTACTTTCCTGGGAAAAAGACCTAAACCAGTCAATACCGGAGAAAATTTGGATGGCCACGATAAATATAACGAAAGGCCTAACACAGTGTGCATCTCACCTAGAAACAACCCGCAAGATCCTTTACCGCTGGTACATGGTCCCTACGAGATTGGCCACAATAGACCCAACACTACCCAACACCTGCTGGCGATGCAAAACCGAAATAGAATCATTTCTCCATGTTTGGTGGAAATGCTCCAAACTTCAACCATATTGGAAAGCAGTCATCTCATTGATACACCGTCACACATCAGTGAACATACCAAACACCCCTACCTCTCTACTTCTCTTTATGCTAGGCACCACCTACCCTAAACCTGTACAATACTTAATATTTCACATACTAGTAGCAGCTCAACAACTAGTAGCAAAAAACTGGCTATCGCCCAATAATGCAGCAACACAAGATATTATTAAACATGTATCTCAAGTAGGAAAGTACGAATCCAATATCTCAAGAATGTCACCAGGAAACAGCTGGAAAAGGGAAGTATGGGAAAACTGGGAGTTAAAACACCCAACATAATTAGGCCTATAACTTAACCTACGGGTACACAACCCATAGGATGTACAGCTCAGGTAGCCCCACCACCTCACTACATTAGAGGGCACACGACACCCAATGCACATGTGCTAGTAACCAACAACTCATAAAACCCTTAAGTATTGAAGTCAAGAGTGGATTGATATATCCACGAAAACTGATGGGAAGAAAGGTGTCAGACCTCACTACTCCCCACACCACCCCCCCCTTTTTTCACCCTTATGAGGCGCTACGCGAAGGAAAGGCCCTCGGGCTCAGTAGGATTGCTTTACATTATGTACACCAAGGGACACCAGGCCACAACTCCCACCTAGGGGAACTCTAACAGGGACAACTTACCCAAACTATAGCAATAAGACAAGCAGGGGCAGGACCCCATAGGTCACACGTAGAGGAAATGGGAGTACTGTATTTATACACTGTAATTATGTACTTATGCATTGCAATTACGTATTGTATCCTTGTACTGATGTATCTATGTACTGCATACCATATCATGCCAGTATTTTGTGCTTATCCTTTCCCTTCTAACCCCCCCTTCTATTTTCTGTACCCCAAGTTCTGACAAAATAAAAATTGTCAAATTGAAAAAAAAAAAAACTCCTTTACTGTGTTAACCTCTACCATTTCAGCTGGAAGGCTATTCCATGCATCCACTACCCTCTCAGTAAAGTAATACTTCCTGATATTATTTTTAAACCTTTGCCCCTCTAATTTAAGACTATGTCCTCTTGTTGTGGTAGTTTTTCTTCTTTTAAATATAGTCTTCTCCTTTACTGTGTTGATTCCCTTGATGTATTTAAATGTCTCGTCTTTCCTCCAAGCTATACATGTTAACATCCTTTCACATTTCCTGGTAAGTTTTATCCTGCAATCCATGAACCAGTTTAACCAAAAGTCATCTAACCACCCAGAAGTCCCTCTAGTGGCTGTCAGGTGGCGTTAACCCTGGCAGGTAATTATTGCAGTTTCTCAAAATCTGCAATAATTACCATGGCAGGGTTAAGGGTGCTGGGAAACTGAGTTGAAGTGGTCTGGGAGCCTTTAGTGTTCCTTTAAGATTGGCTGAAATTACTGACTGAGCGACGGGAGTGTGACCGAGAATCTGAACGCTGCCTGAACGCTGCCTGCACCCAACAGCAGTGCATCTTACAGGCAGCGTTACGATCCCCTGTCTGCTGACCGTCACATTCACCTCGGTCAGCCTGCTTGATGCCATCTCCTGCGAACCTCAGCCAATCCGTGAACAGGATTCATGTCACCAGCCAATGAGGCGCAAGCCGCGCAACATCACTTCCTTCCACTGAGTCAGTCCCAACACGTGGAGCTAAAAGCTGCCACTGCAGAGAGGTGAGAAGGAGCCCCGTACCTGCTCAGGTTATTAAATCATGCCTTGTTATAATTTATTAAATGGGTACGGCTACTTGGAAATTAGTACAAGTTTTTAGGTTGTATCCCAAAATGTGGATGTCCTGGAAATTTTATTTATTTTTCTCTTTTTTTTTCAGAATTGCACTTTTTAAATGTTTGTAATTTTTTTTTATTTTTTATTATGCCTACACAGTGTAGGAATAATAGAAAAAGTACCATTGGTTAAAAAAGAAAACATTAAAATACTGTAACAAGCCAGTCTCCAACCACTTTTTCCACAACGCTCCGTTTAGTTTCCTCTCGGGCACTGTTGGGAGGAAGTGATCTTAAGTGAGGAAATTTATTAGTTTAAAATTTTATGCTTTTCATTTTTTTCTACAAATTTGTTTTTTAAAAAACAAACAAACCTGAAGATGGCAGATTCTTCTTTTTTTTTTTTTATATCTGGGGGTTGCAAGTAGCTGGTCTTGACTAGGGTGCAAAAAAGTCTAGCACCAGCGCTGCACGTACCAACTACCTAGAGATTGTAGTATTTTTCATTGTACTTTTTTGTAACACTTTTTGAATCGCCTTTATAACTTGTTTTTGGTTTTTATTAATGACGTTACCAATGACAATAAATTAATCACTGCTAGGATTCCTTTTGTTCCAAAAAACCTCTTCACGTCTCATAACTTTCATTCTAACTCCTCACTATGAAGTCTTTTTGTTCTTCATAATTTTACGATAAATTATCATGTTGGCATTCACATTAAATGATTTCATATAGAAGCACAATATGCACATTTTAAAAAGGGATTTTATTCTTTGTATAAAATGTTCCATCTATCATGTCACAGTAAAACTTTCTTTATAGCAAAGCATTACATTAACATTGCCATTAAAACTCTTATTAAAAAATACAAATAATTCATTTATTTCCAACAAAAAAAAAAAAAATCTTTAAAAATACTTATTGCCTAAAGATCTCAGGGGTTGAAATGCATTTCAATCTACAACTTAGATGAAATGCGTTCAATGTATTAAATACCCTATGAAAGTAGCTTGTAATTCTATTAAATAAAGTTCAGATATTTATGTAAATACTTTTTCCACTTTTTTTTCGAGCGTGTTGTAAAATATATTATATTTCTGATCACATATATTAATTTTTAAGCATATTTACAAAGGAATGGTTAGAGCAAAGCGCATAGCATTAATAATTAAAAGTAAAAAAAGAAAAAAAAAATAGATAGTGAAATAGTATTAAAGGAAAACTTCGACCCGCATTACAATTTCATCTCAAGGAGTGTCTGAGAACCTTCTTACTTTCAGGGTTTACACAGTTTTCCAACGGTTTCATTCTGAAGTTGGTCTTCCCCGTGCCTGACTGCGATGGTTCCTCTCTACCTGCCTCCTGGTTTCATCTTGTCCAGAAAGGCTTGCCTAGCCAAATGGCGATAGGCCGAGATTGTCAAGTGACATTCCCGGTCTACTGCTGGCTTTCCTGGACTGAAAAAGTTAAAGACGAGGCTGTCGAACACCGGGGGACCAACTACGGAGGTTAAACCATTGGAAAACAGTTTAACTCCTAAATATAAGATTAAGATAAAATTGTTGTGAAGATAGGAATGTTCTTTTCAAATGAAAAGATTTGTTTGAAGCATTGTTAAATGTTAAATATATAATAATCTAGGATCACTCATATGCAAATATATTCCTGGATTCTCTTAATGTTAAAAATCGCACATGATTTTTTTTCCCCATCTAATATAAAAATAATTTGGTAACCTGTTTTTGTATGCAGAAAATATAAAATGAAGAAAAAACAGGTCACTAATTTACAAAATAGGTTATAAAATTTAAAATGCATGCAGTTTATAATCCAATGGAGGTTCTGGGAATGTTCTGGAACATTGTAGTTGTGGACAAGGTGCACCTTGAAATATTTGTCAAATACTTTCAAGATGGCTTCCACCATACCAAGGAATAGACTTTACGTGTGATGTTTAAAGGATCCATAGGTTTTGTTCCTTTATACTGGCATCTGAACTTCATCATATTCATCCTTTCCTGTATCTTCATCAAGACTCACTGTAGGATTGTCCCCATCCAGCTAAAAAACACAGAAGATTATTTTGAAAAAGTAAGGATAAGAGCCCAGTGGGTCTGGTGCTGACAATTATGATGGGGCCTAATTACAGAATCTTATCGACCAAAAACACAAAAACAATCATACCTCCCAAGCGTCATGTATCTGATGGAGATGGTGTTGGAGGGAAACTCAAAGGATGCAGCCATAAGAAAACACATACTCTATGCTAATCTCTTTATCTAATTCAGGGGTAGTCAACCTTTTAATGCCTACCCCCTACTTTTGTATCTTTGTTGATGGTAAAATTTCTTTACCGCCCACCAATGCTGCAGTAACTTATTTTATAGCGAAAGTGTTTAATTTTTTTTCGAAAGGAGAGTTTTTTATGTGTGTGTGTGTGTAGGGTGCTGTGTGTGTGTGAATGGTGCTGTGTGTGTGTGTGTGAGAGGTGCAGTGTGTATGTGAATGGTGAATTGTCTGTGTGAAGGGTGCAGTGTGTGTGTGAGGGGTGCTGTGTGTGAGAGGGGGCAGTGTGTGTGTGTGTGGGGGGGGGCAGAGTGTTTGTGAGAGAGGCAGTCTGTGTCTGAGGGGGCGGTGTAGTGTGTGTGTTTTTGTGTGACAGGTGCATAGGGTCTGTGCTGTGTGTAGGTGGGCGAGATGTGAAAATCTATCTTAATGTCTCCCCCTCCCATCTTCTTACCTTTTACCTGCAAGCACTGTTGGTCCAGTGGTGGCATGTTCACTTTAGCCTGCAGCTCCTGCAGCTGCAGGCTGACTCTCCTGTCCTCCTGCGAGCACAGCACTGTACTGGAGCATTGCCATGGTAACGCGCAGCAATGCTCCGATCAGCCTGCTCGCAGGAGTAACACAGAGCCTCTCTCTGTTTGAACTAAATGCCAGTGGTACTCTGAGGGAGATCTCTGATCTCCTCACCAGCCTGAAAGGGCTTTCAGCAAGGCTGGCTCTGCATGGGCTGGCAGAGGAGATGAAAGGATCTCACATGCCAGCCTTGACCCACAGCCATCAAGGCCCACTGGGCTTTTTCCGCAGAACCCACCTCCGCCCATCTAAAATCCCAAGCCGCCCTCTAGTGGGCGGTAGTGACCAGGTTGACTACCCCTGATCTAATTTATGTTTTCATCTTTCAAGTAAATCCATACCAACAGCAGTGTCCAGTGAAGCAGGAAGCCAATGGGCGGGGTAAAAGAGTCGGCCACTGATGCGAATCACATGACCAGAACTGCCAAAAGGGGCGAACATGCCCAAAAAGGGGATATGTCTGTCCAAAGAATTGGAAGGCCAGCCTGGCATCGGTGTCCCTATGCATCACAGTGTCAGTGCCTCCATGTCGCCCAGTCCCCTAGTCTCCCACTGAGACACTTGGGGACACTGGGAGACATGGGGGCACTTGTGGATACAGACATGGGGACACAGACATGGAGACGCTGGAAGACATGGGGACACAGACATTTGGGTACACTGGGAGAAATGGGGTCACAGACACTAGGGACACAGAGACATGGGGACGCAGACACTGGGAGACATGGGGACACAGACACTGGGAGACATGGGGACACTGAGACACTAGGGACACTGGCTGGGAGTCATAGGGACACAGACATATGGGGACAATGGGAGACATGGGGACACAGAGAGTCATGGGAACACTGACACACTAGGGACACTGGCTGGGAGGCATGGGGTTACTGGGAGCCATGGGGACACTGAGACACTAAAGACACTGTGTCCCTAGTGTCTCCGTGTCCCAATGTGTCTACCTATGTCTCACAGCATCCCCATGTGTCTCAGTGTCCCCACGTCTCCCAGTGTCCCCTAGTGTCTCAGTGTCACCATGTGTCCCCTAGTGTCTCAGTGTCCCCATGTTTCCCTGCTGCCTTCCCCCCCATCCTTCACTTCCCTGAGCTGTAGGCTGTCTCTGCAGGCTGGGAGCTGCTGTCTGAACTCTCTGTGCTGTGTTGCTGCTCCCCCGCGGATCAGTGAGTAGAGAGAGGCAGGGAGGGATATGCTGTAACTTCCTATCCCTGCCTCTCTCCATACACAGTGACCCCTACTGGCCGGTGCTGGTATTGCAGAGTAATTTCCGTTTATACTGAGAAAAATGTTTGCATTTGTATTGCCGGTATTACTGCAATACCATCACGGCCAGGCAGCCTTAAATACAGGCTGTGCCCTAAAATACCAGTCAGATGGAAAACCTAAGAGTAGTGTGTTAAAAAAAAAAGTTTAAAAAAAAAGAATTTTTTTTTTTTTTTTTTAAATGGGCCTATTCCATGGGCCTCGGCCTGGAGCTGCAGCTCCAGCTCCATCAGCCCCTATGTTAATCCGGCCCTGCATTAGAATCACCTTCACAAGTAGGCTAAGGGACAGGGAAATCTGCTTGAAGAGCAATGGCTACAACGGGTCACGGGGCACGTGGAATCTATCCAACTGATAATGGCCCACGGAGACATTGTGTACGGGCATGGAGCAAAGATTGCTGTTCCAGGTACAGAATTTTATTTACAATGCTAAAACTACCTTTGGCGCACTGCATGTGTTGACATTTCTCATGTTCCTTGACACGACTATAGGGATGGTGTTTCCCCATGTTACTCAGTCAGGCTAGGGATGGTAGCTGAGCCTATTGAAATGATGGCTAACCTTGACACCATAAATTGTTTCTGGACTACATTTCCCATGATGCTCAGCTAGCTTTTAGACTCTATAAGCTAGCTGAGCATCATGGGAAATGTAGTCCAGAAACAATTTACAGTGTCCAGGTTAGCCATCACTGGATTGCAATATGTGGACCTGGAGCTTCAGCTCCTATTGCCCCTTCAGTAACCTAGTTCTGTACCTTCTGTTTCTTATTTTTTTAGTCTCTTCCTCAGCAAGTGAAGAAAAAGTGTCTAGTCAACTTCTGTCATTAAAGATACATCATCAGAGGATTCAGAAAACGGTTCTCCTTTTTCTTGCACTTTGGACACTCAGCAAACCGCCAATCTTGACTTTTGGCTGACCAGTCTGCTTAGCCTTAGGTTTATGTACAGTTAAATGTAAAGGTCACCTGTGTTTGGAAGACCCTCAGTCAATACCCGGCTACTGAACAAGAGGTGGCTGCGCTTCTCCATTCCTCTCGCCTCACCACTTGCCCGCTCGATCCTGTCCCATCTCACCTCATCAGATCTCTCTCCCCTTGTCTTGTGCCTACCCTAACACACATCTTTAACTGCTCTCTCTCTTCTGGCACTGTTCCTGCTGACCTTAAACATGCCACTGTAATACCTATCCTGAAAAAACCATCTCTTGACCCATCCTCCCCTTCTAACTATCGTCCCATATCCCTGCTCCCTTTCTCATCAAAGCTTTTGGAAAGGCTTGTCTTTACCCGTGTGTCCCGCTTCCTTAATTCCAACTCTCTCCTTGACCCTCTTCAGTCTGGCTTCCGCCCTCTCCACTCTACTGAGACTGTTCTTATCAAAGTGACTAATGACCTAATCTCCGCTATATCCAAAGGTCATTACTCCATATTAATTCTCCTTGACCTCTCTGCTGCCTTTGACACCGTTGATCATGCTCTCCTCCTTCAAACTCTTCAATCGCTCGGTCTCTGTGACTCAGTCCTCTCTTGGTTTTCCTCCTATCTCTCCCAACGCTCATTCAGTGTCTCCTTTTCCAAGGATACCTCCTCCACTCGTCCTGTCTCGGTTGGAGTTCCCCAAGGGTCTGTCCTTGGTCCCCTTCTATTTTCTCTTTATACCGCCTCTCTTGGTAAACTGATTGCCTCTTTTGGATTCCACTACCACCTGTACGCTGATGACACTCAGATATACCTCTCCTCCCCGGACCTCTCCCCTGCTGTCCTGCAACGTGTCACTGCTTGCCTTTCTTCCATCTCTGACTGGATGTCTTCACTCTTTCTGAAACTTAACCTCTCTAAAACTGAACTCCTTGTCTTTCCTCCTCCTAATCCTCCTCTCTCACTCTCCCTTCAAGTCAGTGATATCCACATAAGTCCATCCCTGCAAGCGCGCTGTCTTGGCGTCATACTTGACTCTGGTCTCACCTTTGAGTCTCACATCCAGTTTGTTGCCAAGTCCTGTAGGTTCCAACTCAAAAACATAGCCCGCATTCGCCCCTTTCTTACGCAAGATGCTACCAAGGAGCTTGTCCATGCTCTAGTAATTTCCCGCATGGATTACTGTAACCCTCTCCTGATTGGTCTCCCCAAAAGCCGTATTGCCCCGCTACAGTCTGTAATGAATGCTGCAGCTAGACTGATTTTCCTCTCTAGTCGGTCCTCTCACACCTCACCCCTCTGCCGGTCCTTACATTGGCTCCCTGTATGCTATAGGAGTCAATTCAAAGTGCTAACCCATACATTTAAAGCACTGAACAGTTCTAGCCCCGCTTATATCTCTTCACTGATCCATAAATATGCCCCTCCACGTACCCTCCGCTCTGCCCGTGACCACCTCCTGACCGCTGCTCGCACCCGTACGGCCAACTCGCGCTTGCAGGACCTCTCGCGGGCGGCTCCTCTCCTATGGAATAGCTTGCCTACTGCCATCAGACTCTCCCCTAGTCTTCAATCATTTAAGAAGGGCCTTAAAACCCATCTCTTCAGGAAAGCTTATGGCCTCCCAGAGTAATCTCTACCTTACATACCTGTCTCCTGCTCTCTCCTATGGGACAGTGCTTTGCTCTCTCCTCCAGCTCTGCTTCACTCCTACTTGATATTTATTGTCCTAATGTTTCAAATACCCCACCTCCAATAGTCTGTAAGCTCGTTTGAGCAGGGTCCTCTTCAACCTATTGTTCCTGTAAGTTTTCTTGTAATTGTCCTATTTATTGTTACACCCCCCCCTCTCAAAATATTGTAAAGCGCTACGGAATCCGTTGGCGCTATATAAATGGCAATAATAATAATAATAATAATAATAATACCACGATGGCTGCCTACCCACTGAAATACTGTCCTATTTTTAAGTGTGCATTACAGCTAAATATGTGCTACATCTCAGCCAAATGGAAATAGCTTTACGCTGGTGGGATTATTTTAAAGGGATACTATAGTCACCAAAACAACTTTAGCTTAATAAAGCAGTTTGGGGGTATAGACCATGCCCCTGAAGTCTCACTGCTCAATTATCTGCCATTTAGGAGTTAAATCACTTTAGTTCTGTTTATGCAGCCCTAGCCACACCTCCCCTGTCTGTAAATGACACCGACTACATGAAAACACAATGGTTTCATTTTTAATCAGATGTAATTTACTTTGAAAGTTTTTATCTCCTGCTCTGTAAATTGAGCTTTAATTACAAACCAGAGGCTCTTGCAGGGTCTAGCAAGCTATTAACAGAGCACGAGATAAGAAATCCTGAATTAAACAGCATTTGCAATAAAGGAAGTGTAAACATAAGATGACTCTTCATAGGAAGTGTTTAGGAGGGCTGTGTAAGTCACACACAGGGAGGTGTGATTAGGGTGCATAAAGAAACTGATTTAACTCATAATTGTTGGAGAATTAAGCAGTGAGACTGCAGTGACATGAACTATACACCAAAACGGATTAATTAAGCTAAGGTTGTTTTAGTGCCTGTTGTATCCCTTTAAATTAATTTATAGAAACAAAATATTAGTTACAGTGTAATTTTAACGAAAGAGCCATGTTTTACTTGTATGTTCTGTTAGCACAAACCTCTTTAAAATTAGGGTAACAAACCACCTTCGTTTTCCCACCCACCGGTCCATTTATGGAGTACTTACACAAGTGAGCTCTAGGTTGCTGAAGATACATGGCAGTAGGAACCTTCGTAGTGGCACAGTAAGAATGAGGACGAAGGGCAGGGCCAGTGAAGCTGGGGTGAAGATGACCACACATAGCACTGCCAAGCACAGTACTTGGGACAACGTAAACAAGTGCATGCGCAGCGTCTTAACCTATGGAGAGAGAATTCAGACAATCATATCCTCATTTTTGAAAAGCCATTAGAATCTTCCATTTCATTTTTCAAACCATTGTCCACATTTCTCCCATAATCCTGCAAGTTAAATCTTTCTACCATAATGACCTACATCCAATGGCAATATCATGAACCACGTGAAACATGCTAAACGGACAATCGCCCAGCATCCTTCCCACATTTCATTTATGTACCTTAAAGTCTGCCATGTTTTTGTTGATCTTTTATGGTTTTCCTTTTCATTATTAAAGGGTTACTCCAAGTACCACAACCACAGAAAAGCGTTTAACCATGAAATGCTGCACATACAAGGCTTAACTCCTTTGTTGCCAGAGTTGTAACTCCTTCTCTGACAGTGTCATTAGCCAGCTCAGAATAATAGTCCCGGGCTGGTTAATGTCAGTTCTGTGCACATTGGACATCTGGCAACAAGGACTCAACTCACCACACTTCCCCCGTACTGCTCAAGTCCTCCATTCCGCACATTCTTGCTACATCCCTCCCCAAGGGGAGTGACGTCAACAATCAAGGATCGGGCTACCAGGAGAATTTGGCCTTTCACTGGATTTTTTTTTTCTTTGAGGGGGGGGGAGTGGGGGAATGCCAGGACAGTAAAAAAAACATTGTTCGTCTGTTGCCAGGATGCCGATGTCAGATGTCCACTATAGACAGAATTGACATTAGCTGCACATGAAGACTCCAAGCACCATAACAACTTCAAATCACTGAAGTGGTCATGGTGCTTGGAATAACCCTCTAATAATAAGGGTTACTGTGACCAAAACAATTGTTTTAGAAAACACAGTTTTTTTAGTTTGAGTAGGCTTTTAAATTAATTTAACTCCACCTCTGCCTCTTTGACCTCCGCTTGCACAGTCCCTTGCTTGTTCTTCTTGGTCCCTAACAATAGTGTTTACCAATACACGTCTCACTTCAAATGACTTCTTTCATTTCCCCCCTTCACTCTTTCCCTTCTTACCCGAGTCACATAGATCTCCTTGGGGTGATATTTGGGTGGTTTAAGGGCGAGGAGTATGCGGTCATAAAGCTGTATACCATTCAGGGAAGTCACCCCCATATAAAGAAATATACCAAATAGGACAGCCAAAGGAATGAGAGTAAGGACGGGCTCCATCAAGATAGAAAGACCTGGTGGAAGAAATGAAGAAAAGTGAGGAGTGTACTTTGTAAATTGTAGATAAAAATGTAGGCTGATAGAATAACCTCGTCAAGAGGGTACACATTGGACAGGTGGGTCATTACACTAAAAGGTACACCTATTGTACAATCGCATGACATGGATACGTATTGCAGAAGGAAGTGTGCAGACAGCCATACACATGGACACTATTGTTTGCCAGATCTTCTACAGAGCTTTGTGGATGGATGTACCTTTTGGAGCTCAACTTCATCTGCCATTGCCTATCCTAGTCCCGTCATCTCACCATCTTTGTTTGCATTAACTCTGAATTTGGTTTGTTTCAGAGTTGCAAATGTCGACGGCAAATCATCTCACAAGACCCACCGAAGTGGATTTTTTCTTTGGAATTAAGAAATAGATCTGACCCATAAATATTTACTTTTTTTTTTTTTTTTATATATAAATATTTTCTGCAAATACCCAGAATCTGCAGATACCAGGACGTTGAGATGGTTCAACTGATCGTGGGCATTCCACTATTTCAATTGGAGTGTTGTCTATATATCATAAACACCTACTATGCTCAGGTTTAATGGATCGTGGTCTGCTTTCAGTAGAAAGCTGCGCAGTGCTTGGCAAACATGGTTGCAGGTGTTTTCATGAAAGAAGTACTCAGATAAAAAAGTACTCGGATGTTACAGTTTGGCAAGTTTGCTGCACCTCTACGCCCAATTTCCCAAAACACCAAGGAAACCAATTGTCATCCTCTAGCGCAGGCACAGGCAACCTTCGGCACTCCAGATGTGAAGTCCACCACATCTGGAGTGCCGAAGGTTGCCTACCCCTGCTCTAGCGGATCTCAGAAGGTTTGGTGTGCATGCACAGATAATAGCTTTTCACAGAAAAAAATAAATGAAGAAACTGTAATTTGAAATGTTTTCATATTATATGTAATATGTTTGTGTAAATAAAATACACAATTCTTGCTATGAATGACACGAAGGGCCACCAATACGACGTGAGACAGTGTATAAATACCCAGCAACAATATAAAATTTATTTATTTTTGCATTCTGCGTTGCATGTCAAGCTGGGTACTCTAGGATATTTTGGAAACGGGAGTTCTTAACTTTCTTTTGCCCAAGGAGGACTTCTCTAAGTGCAACTTGCGATATGCAGGTGATGCAGAGCAGTCATTTTGCTATACCCAAATATATATGCCCACACACACACACACACAAAAACACAAAACACACATTTATTAAACTGACCGACAAGAAGAGACACTAGAAGTGCACTGATCCTCTGTTCGATGACTCTCTCTATTTGAGGCTTGTCTCCCTTGCTCATGATGGTCAAAGCGTTGGCGTGGCTGACTGTACGCACTGTGGTGGCACTGAGCCAAGGCATCCCAAAGAAGGCACAGACACCTCCCATGCCCACGATCAACAGCAGATCCAAGTGGAATCCTGAGCCCTTCACGGTTTTCCTTTCTGGTTTGCTGACAATGAGCCTTTTGGGGTAAAACATGGTATTTATCTCCCAAATAAAAATACAAAACACAAGAACACGATAGGTTTATATTATTGGTTAATACAGTGGTTCCCAAACCAGTCCAGGATTTAGGGATTAACCAGTTGTGTCTAAGGTGTTTTTGTTTTGTTTGTTTGTTTTTAAAACCACCTTAGACACAAGTGGGTAATCCTTAAATCCTGGACTTGTATGGGAAGCATGAGGACTGGTTTAAGAACCACTGGTTTAATACAGGGATTTCAGCTGATGAGAAAAATCATCAAAATCAAAATCAGGCCATGTTTTTGCATGTTCATTAAAATAATGCTTCTCACTTTTTGTTCTAGGCAAGTATCATTAGTTACAGATTTTAATCAATTATCAACAATCCATTGAGCTTCTACATGTAATAAAATTACATTAAAATCATTAAATTAACCCCCCACCCTGCCATTCCAGGAATACCGCATTTAGAAGTACCCCAGTTTAGGTTCTTCTAGTCTGAGGCTCAGACTATTACTTGGTACAATAGTGAGATTCAAATCATTGATCATTTGGACAAGCAGCGTTCAGAAACATGGGAAGTGACAATCAGAATATTGTTGAACCCACTAATGGGGTCCAGCTTACAATCAGAGTCGAGAACACTGGTCAGCTCACTAGGAGAGTCGAGAACACTGGTCAGCTCACTAGGAGAGTCTAGGAGAGTCGAGAACACTGGTCAGCTCACTAGGAGAGTCGAGAACACTGGTCAGCTCACTAGGAGAGTCGAGAACACTGGTCAGCTCACTAGGAGAGTCGAGGACACTGGTCAGCTCACTAGGAGAGTCGAGGACACTGGTCAGCTCACTAGGAGAGTCGAGGACACTGGTCAGCTCACTAGGAGAGTCGAGGACACTGGTAGGCTCACTAGGAGAGTCGAGAACACTGGTCAGTTTACTAGGAGAGTCGAGAACACTGGTCAGCTCACTAGGAGAGTCGAGAACACTGGTCAGTTTACTAGGAGAGTCGAGAACACTGGTCAGTTTACTAGGAGAGATGAGAACACAGGTAAGCTAAATATGAGAGTTGAGAACAGGGTGAAAACATAGGTTCAGATCATAAAACCATATAGTGGATTTTGCCATTTTCTGAATCATGTAGAAAACCTGAAATGATTTTGACCAAAGCATTGCAGTGACTTACGTTGTGATCTGAGACTCCATGAAGATTAGGATGAAGACAAGAAGGGCTGGCACTACAGAAGCAAACATCATCCAAATGGGGAAGGGTGTGCTTAGCCCCATTGGTGGGATAAACCAGCTGCGATTACTGGGTAAGGAGACACTGAGACCTTTGGGTAGGCTGAGTTTCTAACAAAAACAACAGAAAATGATTAAAAGTTGACCAACATATATGGTGAGTTTGACATTAAATAGATATGTCTCTTTTGCGCTCACTCAGTTATTATAAATATTGTGTATACACTCCCATACACTGTAGATGTATACACGCATGCTATTAAATGAAAAATGAAGCCCAAGTATTGATACAAATAATAATCACAAAATAATTGTATCCCCAAAACACAATTCTGAATTCCCTAATCGGAACTTTCTCAGTAATTGTCCTATAGTCCGATATATCTTGTAGATATTAACACAGGATCGGGAATAACTCCCCCTCCAAGACTTGTTAGGTTATAAGGCTTTCTAAAAAATAGATCTGTTCTAATACCCCAAATCCACCACTTTAATACTGCCCTTACTTCAAGCCACATTCTTTATAGTTTCATAACAGCTCTTGAAAAACATTGACACTCGGGCGAGAGGTTACCCAGAAGACTATTGACCCTATGTGAACTTTTTATAGTGCTGTGGTCATTTATGTGCCTGTGAGATTTGTCTCTAACAGGGATGATGACTTTGGCTAAGTCTTTACAAAAGAATAACTACAATGTTCCAACCAACTCCAACCAACATACTTCTACTAGCTCATAAATACTTTAGATAAAGTACAAGAGCTTAACTAGATGATATGAGACTTCACAAGTATTATACAAATACTCAGATGCTATGCTTGAAACTTGCTGAAGATGCGGTTGGCTCCTGAGCACATTTTGTAGCTTTGCCTGGACAAAAATTCTATATTGGAAAACAGTGCTCAATTATCAGTAACCAGGCTGCTGAACTTCTCCAAACTTCTGAACTTCTCCGTCTCCAGATTTAGACTTTGATTTAATATTTTTGGATAAGATTTCAAATGATTTAATATTTTGAAAAATATTTTGGTAGTTTTTGATATATATTTTATATATTGATCATTTTTGATTTTCTAATATTTTGAAAAAAAAAACATTTTAGAAGCTTATCTGAAAATACTAAATAGAGGCTATAAAAACACCCTATAAACAGCTCTTTTACAGATGACTATATTTTACAAAATTGGCAAACCTTTTAATATTTCTAATGTGAAAACCAAAATGTACAGAAGGATTTCAGTTACTGTGGTTTGGAGAGGCAGCTATTGTTGCAAGAACTTCTCGTTACATGTATGGACCATGTGCTTGATCAAATTACCTTTCACCACTCAAAAATTTCATGAATCCTGGCAGCTTGCATACAAATATCGAATATGTAATATAAAGATTTCCTTACCTTTGTGTAAGTGTCCTTAATGGAAAAATCAACCCCGACCATAATGAGAATTGCAATGGGAACACCGAAATCACCAATAATACGACGTAACTGTAGAAAATATACCCACATCATAATACTGGCAAGGTTTTAATATAGTCCATTAAACTATTATTAAACAAAAATATATACTGGGATATCAACTTGTAGTCAAGCTTTTAATAATATTAGTTGTAATTTTCTATCTGGCTTGATATCGATCTACTTGGTCTCATTCATTTAAACCAAGGGATGTGTTTTACTAGGAATTATACATTAGGAATGATTATTACTTTGGGGGTGCAGATCTTATTATAGACCAACTCACTAGGACTCGTTTTATTGACATTGTAAAGGATGAGTGCACCTTGCTAGAAATATGACCTACTACTCTGATTATGAATGAACTAAATGAACTTGCAGCTAGTTTGATTTCATATGTTATCAGACTTATGCTTAGCTTTTTGTAGTCTTTAATCCCCTCTTGCTCTACTCAAAAATTGATTATTATTTTTAATCAATCAGTTATCAAGTTTTTTACCTTCCCTGGGAAGTAGCTGCTGTTTTTGAATTGACGGAGAAAGAAAGCAATAAAGAAGGCCCCAGACATCAGTACCAAAGACAGCAAAGCAGTGTTCGGCTGAGGGACAGCATTGGGGTCCAGATGTGTTCCATTGTAGTTCGACTGTAAAGGATGGGCCTTGAAGATCTGGGGAGAATTGAAAAAAAATGTATCAGTGTGTGAAAAGGACATATAACATGGTTAAGAGGAAAAAACCATGTTGCTTAGTTACAGGACATCCAAATAGATTTTTTTTTTCACCAGACTGTGAGGCATTCTAAATTTTGTATGTAGAGAAATTAAACTAATATTTTGACCGAAACAGACAAGTTAAAGATTTCACAAACAAAATGTTTTGTCCCAGTTTCTTTTGCGTGATAAACACCTCCATGAGAACAATTTACTAAACTGGTAGCTGATGTAAAGAATATCTTTCCCTCAAAAGGCGGGGGGAAAGACAATAGCCACTTCAGGTGAGACCAGTTCTCTGGTCTGTGCATTGTGCTAATTAGATTTAAGTAAATGCATAGATTAAATGGCAGAGTTACATTGTTTAACGTGCACATATGTGCACTTGATATTGTAATAAAGCCACTGGATCCAAAACGACTAGACTTTTTTTTAAACAACTATATATGTTTATTTTATTTTCATAATTTGGTTTGTGTTTTTTTTTTTTTTGTTTAATTTATATATATTCTTTATTTTTGTTGTGCAAAAATGGTTACAAACAGGCCTGCAGTGCCACGACGGCAGTAACAAGCAAATCAAGGCATTCAGTATTATGACATAGGATTGAATTGCACAATTTTAAACAGGTAAAAACATGGTAATGTAGGTCTCTGCAGAAGATAAGCAGGTAAGAATGGTACAAGACAGGTATTTGCACTGGCATTTTTGGTATTGAAAAAAGAGAAAAAAGAAAAAGAAAAAGGAGTAGTATTATAATAAGAGCATACTTCACAAGTATAACCAGCTTCTGGATTATATGTTAGTTTAGGATTGTATATAAACGGGTTATCGTTCAGGCAATTTACACATTTCGTAACATGGGAAGCCTGTTGGGTAGATATGGGCCTTAATGTTAGGTTGCAAGCTATGTGGCTGCTGGTGAAGGTTGCCCCGTGTATAAGTGTGTGGGTCGAAAAGCAACAACATGCTTTCATGCCGCTGGGTTGGGGCCAAAATACAGTAGTTATAGGCCACAAATACCACTGGGTAAGACAATGTGTATGGGGATTAAAAAGGGACAAAAAAAAAAAATAAAATCTAAGAAACAGTAGTACAATCGTGTTACCATAGCTTTAACTGGTTGAGCCGGACCTCTAGCTGTCTGAGCTCGAATTGTATTATGGGAGCTGTAAATCAGGCTGTGAGCTGTATCTCTGGTACTTGCTATGTACCTTTAGTGTTAAGGTGTGTCGCTGGGCGTTTTGCATCTTAGTAGCTACTAGATCTTGTGCCGGAGATCCTACTGGAGAGATCTGATTGGGATCTTTGGTGTTCTGTGGGGCTGTGAAGACCCTGGGTGGTGAGGAGTGGGCTGTAGGGGTTTTGAGTAGCTGCCCTGTAAATAATGTGTCGCTTTAGTGTTAGGATTGTTGGGAGCCTATACGTACCTGAGTGGGCATCTAGCAGTGCGTGAGTGAGGCGGTGAGCAATTGTTGCCTACACTGGATTTGGGAGATAGTGAGGCTCGTGCTTGGTGTTCCCCTAATGGTTTGTGTATTTTAATAAAAAGTATATAAATATATACTATACATTTTTATATGTAACAGTAAACCATGTATTATGGGAAAATAATGCCATTGAGAGATTTTGGAGATATCATAATATACAAAGAAGGTTATGTCGTTTATGAAAATCTTCAGAACCCAGAGATATAATTTTTTTCTTGAATTCATACTTTAGTGTATCCCTTTTCATTACATATGATATTTTTTTTCTTGTAATAAGGGTTATGACTACTGTCATGGTCAGTTCTTGGATTCCCAGTCTGCCAGAGATTGTTGGCAGTTACCCGAGCAAGATTAACGAAACATAAGGGGTTGCCTGTGGCTCAAGAGTCAGACAGGGATCCCAGAACCAGTAATTTAATTGTCCCCATACACCATCCCTAAGTGAGGAATGAACAAGGTGCCCAAATTGGCAGCCTGCCTAGGACCCTGTGGGATCTTAATTTGTCATTGGGACTTACACTACAGTGCAGAATCTGCTATTTACAGTGCTCACAATTAATTAAGCTCACAGGCATTATGCTTACCTTGTAGAGATTGGCAAAGGTCTCATAGATAAAGATGAGCGAGATAAGGAATGAGAAGATCTCCTGCGTAAACCTTGAAATGAAGCGGACCAAAAAGCTGCCTTCAAAGGCCACCACTATTATCACAATCAAGATTAGCCAATAGCCGATCCACACTCGCCCCACGATGTACTCAATGCCTTGACTTTCACAGAACTTGTGGAAAAATAATAGAAGCAATGGTAAATCAGACGTATTACTCCTATCTTCTTTATTCTATTTTTGGTCTGTAAGCCATCAGGTGTCACATTGCCCCCACTTCTACCTCTGTAAAAGTCCCAGTTTAACTTTCCCTTATCATTTTCTTTGGTCATAATTGCAATAAACGTCAATTAAAATTATGTTGAAGGTGAGTGGAGAGTTCCGCACAATCCCAATGACTAAAAGACAAATAGATACCTTGAAAAAAGCTTCTTCAAAAACAAGTAGAGGTCCAGAAAACCCGAGAATGAGAAGAGGTTGGGCACCAAGAAGACAAAAGAGAATTCCCTGTGCGGCTGTGGACACCATTAATTCAGACACACCCATCCAGTTCTGGGTCTTTTGAGCTAAAGAAACAGATACAGAGAAGACTAAATACTGACAAACAGGGTTATATGACAAGAGGTAATCGAACTTCCAAATGTAAAAGAAGTGTAAAGTGAGACAAACTATAAAAAAAAAAATAAACAAATAGGAATCGTACTATATTCTAAAAGCAGCGAAAGATGGGCAGCCAGCTTAGCGAATAAATTGACTTTTATTCAAGAAAGAAACGGATGTGATTTGAATATTGAATTAGGTAGCATATGACCTTCTTGGCCCACCTAGTCTTTTGCACTTCTAATTGTTACAAATCTCCAGTTGACCCACAATCTTGTATCATATCCAGGGAAGATCTATGATCATGTCATGAAACTTTACATTCTTCTAATGTTTTTAAAGATATTAATTTGTGGAATACGTTATCTAAATTAATCTTATAACAGCAACTTTATAATAGACCAACCATACAAAGCTATACAGTTCATATTCTTCCGAAGGCAAGGAGTAACCAGTGAAGATTTTATCAACACCAAGCACTTACCCATTAAACCTCCAAATGTAATGGCGGGTGAGAGGGCAGCAAAGTAGATAAATATGAAAGCAGCTAGACACTGGGGATTAAGTGCATCACGGATATCGCTTAGGTATTTTGGGTATCGACGACGAATGTCACGTACGAGACCTCCAAAAGGCTTGCCGGTTCGTTGCAAAGGGTCTTCTGGAGGCTCCTCTTTGTTCTTTAAATCTTTGAAGGAAGAGGACATGAATTAGGAGGTGAGTCATCCAATTCTGGGCTAGAAAACTGGAGCTACGAAAAGGTTCGGTTTTTAAAATGAAAAGAAATTGTAAACAAAACAAGAACAACCAACAACAACAAAAACACTGTAGGTAGAAATGGATGAATGTGGAAAAGTGAGAAGGATCAATATAAAGAAAGGAGACATTTGCAAATGTGGATGGGAGTTGGGAGGTCGAGAAGAGGAAGAGAATGGTGAAAGAAGGCGAGACAAACAAGAATATATTTAATAGCGATAATGGGAGACATTAAATGGCAAAGACCAGATTGCACCCAGGAAGAAGGTTGGATGTTAAGACCGCATGCACTTGAATGGAGCAGATTCTCTACTTGGAGCTACTATTCATGAACCTGATTAGTAAAAAAAAAATGGATGCCACACCAAGAACATGCATTTCTCAGCAGTGGTACTACCTCTGTTCTAAAAAACAAAATATATACATAATACAGATTAAGGTACAGCGTGCACACAATAGAATCAAGTTTTACATTTTGAAAACCTACTTAAAATAATCTATGTCAGCAAACAAATATGAGGATTTAGTTACACCACACAATACGGCCATATGGTGTAACCAAATCCCTATATTTGTTAGCTAAGGTAGGCAATGTTAACTTAAGCTTTGTGAAATTTAAAACTGGATTTTGTTTTGGGTCTGTGTGCTCTTCCTTAATCTCTATCGCATTGTAGTTCTCTACATGTTTCTCCTTTGACCAATATATTTACAAAAAAAAAAGTGGAGAGAAAGAAAGTACAGCAGCCTACAACACAAAATTAAATAGGGCAGAAAATAAGGTTGTATAGAAAATGGAGAATCATTTGGAATTGCTTTCTCAAGAGTAACGGGGCATTAAGGGGATGAAAAATGGGGCATCAAGGGGACAAAGAATGGACTCTACCTTGCTTGTGTCCACCTGGTACCACTTTAATATCTTGGTATCGCTTCCTGAGCATGTTCATTTGCAATGGCACCAGTTCCTTGAGTAGCTGCTCGTTAGGAGAGTCCGTAGGGGGAATAACTATGCAACAATCCAAGAACTCTTCAATAGAATGAACAAGGTCTTGACGTCCACCAGCAAGGTACATGTCAGTACGGAAGACCTGAGAAAATACAGGGAAAGAAATGTGACTGCAGAGTATAACGGGAATAATGACAAATAGGTGAGGAAAGGTAAAGACCTACAGGCAGAAAATATATGAAAAAAAATAAGAAAATTATTGATAGAGATTATATCAGGTAATAGGTGGAATTAAAACAATTATAAAGAGTGACGAAAATATGGAGTAACAGGAGGAGTTATAGGGAGAGGATATATGGAGTAATAGGAGGAGTTATAGAGAGAGGTTATATGGAGTAACAGGAGGAGTTATAGAGAGAGGTTATATGGAGTAATAGGGGGAGTTATAGGGAGAGGATATATGGAGTAACAGGAGGAGTTATAGAGAGAGGTTATATGGAGTAACAGGAGGAGTTATAGAGAGAGGTTATATGGAGTAATAGGAGGAGTTATAGAGAAAGGTTATATGGAGTAATAGGGGGAGTTATAGGGAGAGGATATATGGAGTAATAGGAGGAGTTATAGAGAGAGGTTATATGGAGTGATAGGAGGAGTTATAGGGAGAGGTTATATGGAGTAACAGGAGGAGTTATAGGGAGAGGTTATATGGAGTAACAGGAGGAGTTATAGGGAGAGGTTATATGGAGTAATAGGAGGAGATACAGAGAGGTTATGTGGAGTAATAGGAGGAGTTATAGGGAGAGGTTATATGGAGTAATATGAGGAGTTATAGAGAGAGGTTATATGGAGTAATAGGAGGAGTTATAGAGAGAGGTTATATGGAGTAATAGGAGGAGTTATAGAGAGGTTATATGTAGTAATAGGAGGAGTTATAGAGAGGTTATATGGAGTAATAGGAGGAGTTATAGGGAGAGGTTATATGGAGTAATAGGAGGAGTTATAGGGAAAGGTTATATGGAGTAATAGGAGGAGTTATAGAGAGAGGTTATATGGAGTAATAGGAGGAGTTATAGCTAGAGGTTATATGGAGTAATAGGAGGAGTTATAGAGAGAGGTTATATGGAGTAATAGGAGGAGTTATAGAGAGGTTATATGTAGTAATAGGAGGAGTTATAGAGAGAGGTTATATGGAGTAATAGGAGGAGTTATAGGGAGAGGTTATATGGAGTAATAGGAGGATTTATAGGGAGAGGTTATATGGAGTTATAGAGAGAGGTTATATGGAGTAACAGGAGGAGTTATAGATAGAGGTTTTATGGAGTAATAGGAGTTTTAGGGAGAGGTTATATGGAGTAACTTGGATTTTGTTATTTGACTATAAGAATAAGGAATTAGCATGAAGCTGAGTCACAGACTTATTGTAGGAAATATTAAATGCCATCCAGTATTTACCCTCTCTGCCATCATGCTAGATACAGCTTTCCCCACATCCTGGTAACTAATATTGGGGTGCTCAGGTCCCAGAAGGATGAAGAGGAACCTGATTGGTATAGAAACTTCAAGGACAGACTCCAGGTGCACAGCTTCCTTCAGGCGTACAAACGCCACAGTTGGACTCTCTAAGAATCTAGCACCACCTGTGGAAGAAGGAAAATGAATGACAACAAAAACAAGGAGACTAAACCTAATCAATTCAGTTCTTGAGTGAATAAGTCCAAACATGACTTCAGAATAAAGGGTATGAACAGGTACTAAATATCAACCTTAGTACTTAGCTGTGACCGTATCCTCTTGAAATATTAAAGGGACACTGTTGAGTATATTCAGTCCATGCAGGCATTTTGCTGTAAACACTGTGTTTTCAGAGAAAAGGCAGTGTTTACATTACAGCCCTTGGGACACCTGCAGTGGCCACTCCTCAGATAGCTACTGGAGGTGCTTCCTGGGGCAGTGCAGCGCAGTGTGCAGCACTGACGTTCACAGTCTACACACTCTACATGGAGACGCTGAACTTTCCCCATAGAGATGCATTGTTTGGCCAGGCTGGCGTTTGGCCCCGCCCACACACCACTTCTCAATCTCAGCCAATACAAAGCTTATCAAGTCTGATTAGGTCAGCCAAGGAGGCAGATCAGGGTTGGGGCAAGCGCCGGCGGACTCGCAGGTGAATTAAATAAGGTAAGTTTTATTACCTTTTAATGGGGGTAAGGAAGGGCAAGCCACCTTAATTATGGTTTTAACAGTATAGGGTCAGGAATACATGTTTGTGTCCCTGACCCTAGTGTTCCTTTAAGCCTGTAAGCCTATATACCAACAACTTCAAAACATATGGCACTCATTCCTAAATTGATCGTAAATAGTATTTAGTAGAATACAATAAAATAAAACACAAAGTTGTGCACTATTAAAACCATCCAATAAAGGATTGTATAGTGTTCAATACCAGATATGTAAACAATATATGGGAGAAAAAAAATTATATATATATATATATATATATATATATATATATATATACACATACACACACACACATATACATACACACACACACACACACACACGTGAATGGTGCCACAAAGCCTTCTCATATAATAAAGAATTAATGGCCATTGGGTGACAGGTAGTAGACCAAACTCACATTTATTAGAGAATGAGACATAGAGGATTCTATTCTGGTTTCCATTTAGGACCAATGAAGAGTTGTTTTTCTCGATTTTCTTGTTTGGTAACTTGCCAAACAATAGAGAAGTTAAAGATAAGAACTGGCCCTCGAGTCACAAAAACATCCTTTAAGGGAAACTCTAAACTCTAAATCCCAATATCGATGTATTCGTTATAACAAATAATAAATCGGCAAAAAAAATTCTTTAGACTCTCCTTAAGTTAAAAGGGGTAATCCAAATGTGGACCCTGTGCCTATAGGGGTATCAGCTACATCTCACTGATGAAGCCCAAAGAAGGCCGCAACGATTGTCTGGGGTCAAGCTATTGATGTTTATCTGAGCTTTGCCTTTTCTCAGAGTTTTCTGCTTAAAATATTTCCTAATCACTAAAGCTTTCCTTTCTTTAGATGCAGTGCAAAGCTGATGAAGATTCCACCCCCCCTCTTTTTTGCCCAGAACTTAACTCTGTTAGTGCTGTGTCTTGCCCAAGCAAATGCCTCTCATATAAAAGTATTGAAAATAAATCTAGAGTCCAAAGTACTTCATAGATACAGGGGGATGGGAAGCGGGGTGAAGGATTAATTGAGATTTAGGCATTTGTATAAAAAACATAAATAAATCATATTTTAGGGATGTATAGGTCGAGCACACTTGTATGTATTAATTTTTATGTTTCCAATAAAACTACCATAACACTAACCATTAAAAATAACCAATATTATTATCATCATCATCTTGGTATTTATATAGCGCCAGCTAATTCCGCAGCACTTTACAATATTATGAAAGGGGGACATTTTACAATAAATGAGACAATTACACAGGAACAATTGGTAGATGAGGACCATGCTCGAACGAGCTTACAGTCTATAAACTGTATTAGCCATTTGCTAACCCGAACGTTAACTCCTAACTCCTACACGAACCGTAGCCTAAAAATATAATGTAATATAAACGATGCATTAGATAAAACGAAGTCTGGAGACATTTCTAAATTACTCATTCTTTAATTTCAGTCTTTATTAAGATGTCTCTATGTCTGTTCAGTTGTATTATTTTCCATAATACACAGTTCATTGTTATGTATTCTATATATACATGTGCACACAGTATTTATTTATTTCCCACTTACCCACAAGGACTACGGAGGCTTCTGCACCTTCTGGCACTCTGTCTGCCAACGCATTTCCCTATTGGGTATAGCAGAACAACAAGGATTAAAATCAAATTACCATTTTATAACATTGCCCTATTGCGATCTTAAAAGTAAAATGGCAAAAGTGTAACCTTATATGTCAGGATATGGGGCAATTTAATGGGTAAAATACATAGATAACAACATAGCAGGAAATTAGTAGAATGTACATACAAGATATACTTATGCTTAACACTACCCAACTTCTGGTCTCCTAGTGATAGACTCATAAGTAACAAAATATACAACAGGAAATACATTGACAAAATAAATCTAATATTACCCCATACCTAATCCACCTGCAACTCGAAGTTCCAACCCAAGAACTAGTCAATGCATGAAAAACAGCTAGATTAAGTAGATCCACTGAAACAGTGAAGCGAAATTCCTCAATTCAAATTAAACATTACATGTGTAATATCTAAAAAAAATATATAAAATACAAAAAATCCAAAGGAGCAAACAGTGGTGTAGGGGTAACTCACCTACAGCAAGTTAGATCATAAACCTGGACGCATTTAGCACCACAGTGTACTTATCCACACTGCTTATGAATAAGCAACTTGAGTGTTGTGAAACGCGTCAATTTTCACAGTCTAACTTGCTAAGTTACTCCTATACCACTGTTTGTTTATATATATATATATATATATATATATATATATATATATTATTATTTTTTTTATCATTATCATATGTATAATATTTGATTATTACAACAGAACTAAAAATTTAATGTACCATAGAACCTCCAGGCTTGAAGTGGGTAGTAACGTTCCAGGCCTGGCTGGCAGCATAGGACTTGGAATGTTAAGACCCCATTACACAGTTAAGGTTTTATTTTTATTGAGGGTTTGGGCTTCACTGATTCTGTGGATCCATATGAGCGTTTTTTCGTGAACCTGGCGCAGATTATATTGTAGACTATAGAAACTGCGGATTGGGCATAGCGGTGGTAAACTGGGGCGTGGAGATAGTGTATTGGCAGGAGAGAGAGTGGATCAGTTCTTGAATTTAAAATCTTTATCTTATCGGCTGCTGCCTACTCTAATCCTGGCCCTCATATATTACTATAATATAATACAGAACTGCTAGGAGCAACAACAAAAACACACTTTAAATATAAAATATACCCATGCAATTTATTTAAGTTTCTTATCAAGACCATTACCTTAGCAGTAACAGTTTTCATCTCAATCTGAAGTAATGCTTGCTTACTCTCAACGTCTCCTTTAAGCCCTTCTTCGGGATGGCTGTAAAATAAAATTGCCAGCGATTAATCAATTAAGTAACTCTTTGCGTGATGTGTGTGTGAATTCACAACAGTTTAAAAAAAGGGAACCTTTTATTAGTGTATGTGTATACAGTGTATAGTAAGGGGCTTGTTAGTGCATTATTAACAATAAGACAATTAGAGACGGCTGCCTATGGCCCAGGGGTTAGACAGGGGTCCATTAATTTGCTTGGTTCCATTTACCATCCCAATGTGAAGAATATAGGGGAGGGCCCCTAAACTACCTTGGACCCTGTGCGATCTTAATCCTTGTCCTGGGATGATAGGAGTTGTAGTATTGCTTTATTGATCCTGTATACCTATGCTATAGCTATCATTTCTATAGAATGAAGGTGCAGTGTATATGGAGACACATTGATGAAGCAGGGATTGCTGGTAATTGTAAAAAATAAAATTAAATGTAGAGAACTCCATCTTTTTATCCTGCAACTGGGTGCCTCCACCCAGGCTTGGCTCCCTGACAATCAAGCTCCACCCCTTGCACATGATAAGTCGGCATATAGAGAGTTGTGGGAATGAAACAACGTTTCTATTTCTCCTCTTCTTTTACAATGTCAGACCCTGATTTTGTATCCAGTTTGTTTATGGTTAATATACATGGAATTCAACATATCCAAATCGCATGTCTTTCCCACAACTTACGTGTGTTGCAGGAGAAGGGCTCGTAGGACCTCTTCCCGGTTATCAGGTTTTAAATGTTCTTCGTAAATCATCTGATCGATAACTTGGCTGGCGATTCCTGGGAGAGTCTTTTCTTCAAGGTCCAGAAGTACCGTACCTGCAAGAAGAAGTACGATGGTCTCTTAGGGATGCCGCAGAGTGATAAGAATCTTAAGGCCACAGAGTGTTAAGAAAGCCAGGTTATTCAGAAGGTCTTGGTGGTAAGATGCCTTTTTGCTGATGATACTACGATTTGTAACAGGGTTGATGTTCCAGGAGAGATAAGCCAAATGGAAAATGATTTAGGTAAACTAGAAAAATGGTCAGAACTGTGGCAACTGACATTTAATGTGGATAAGTGCAAGATAATGCATCTTGGACGTAAAAACCCAAGGGCAGAGTACAGAATATTTGATAGAGTCCTAACCTCAACATCTGAGGAAGGGGATTTAGGGGTGATTATTTCTGATGACTTAAAGGTAGGCAGACAATGTAATAGAGCAGCAGGAAATGCTAGCAGAATGCTTGGTTGTATAGGGAGAGGTATTAGCAGTAGAAAGAGGGAAGTGCTCATGCCATTGTACAGAACACTGGTGAGACCTCACTTGGAGTATTGTACGCAGTACTGGAGACCGTATCTTCAGAAGAATATTGATACTTTAGAGAGAGTTCAGAGAAGGGCTACTAAACTGGTTAATGGATTGCAGGATAAAACTTACCAGGAAAGGTTAAAGGATCTTAACATGTATAGCTTGGAGGAAAGACGAGACAGGGGGATATGATAGAAACATTTAAATACATAAAGGGAATCAACACAGTAAAGGAGGAGACTATATTTAAAAGAAGAAAAACTACCACAACAAGATGACATAGTCTTAAATTAGAGGGGAAAAGGTTTAAAAATAATATCAGGAAGTATCCCTTTACTGAGAGAGTAGTGGATGCATGGAATCGCCTTCCAGCTGAAGTGGCAGAGGTTAACAAAGTAAAGGAATTTAAGCATGCGTGAGATAGGCATAAGGCTATACGAACTATAAGATAAAGCCAGGGACTAAAAAGTATTTAGAAAATTGGGCAGACTAGATGGGCTGAATGGTTCTTATCTGTCGTCACATTCTATGTTTCTATGTACTAAAATGAGAGCTGTTGGGAATTCAAACGGAATTCAAAATGAGTTTCAAATTTAAGGCCAAAGTAGCCAAACTGAAAGTTTAGCTAAAGGAGGAGAATTTTTCCAGTTCAGCTATTTTGGCCTTAAGTTTGAAATTCCCTGCATTTTTCAATGTAGTAATAACACTCCTATGATGTTGCTGGAGGTGGAGTTAGAACTCCGGCAGCTAAAGAGTTAAACTATGTATCTTCAGAGTTCCAAAGTGAAACACTGCAAATACAAACTCCAGGCACCATAGCCACTTCAAATCACTGAAGTGGTCATGGTGCTTGGAAGTAACCCTTTAAATTATTCAACTAAACGACCACACGTGCATTTGCCACTTAGGTCCATCTACGTTTCTAAGCCTGTAGCTGTGGAAATGTTCTACAAATACCAAGCCTCACTCGGCATAAGTTCTCCTGTCCAAGGTTTGGGCCTATGCATCCCCATACCAAATTGGGCAACCAATACAACTGCATCTACTTATTCCATGACTGTGTATGGTTCTAGATAGGGACTGCCCAGGATGTGGGACACCATGAAAAGAACTTGGAACTTTCTTGGCAAGTTCGACACTTTGATACCTTTGTATCAAAGTGTTGAGGTTGAGAAAACAGAACTAAGAGCAAACCTTTCTTAAAAACCCGACGTAGCTCCGAGAGGCTGCGGAAAGTGAGGTAGGAGATGTGAGGTTTTCCCCACTGCTGGTTTTTCTCTTGGTAATCTTCCTCGGCTTTCAACCATCGTGCAGCCTCCACCCAACGATGTTCCTTGTTGGTGTCCATTATTAACTCCTGCAGCTCTACGTACAGCTGGAGAAAGAGAAGGACATAGAATATTAACTGGATGATTGACAGTAGCAAGGTGGAAAGATTAATGAAGCCGAGAAATTAGAAAAATTAGAAATAGGGATGGATTATACAAGTGTTAATGAAGATATAGGATTGTTGAAATAGAAGACTGGGGTGTGAAAGAAGTTCGAAAAAACGTAATAGAAATAAATTGTTGGGAAGATCTGAACAGTCATGGCAATAAAGAAAAGCTGAAAAAAGTAGAATTTTGGATGAAAGGAACATGGCATTGGCTCAAAAGTGGGAAGCAAGAGGTCATATTTGAATCACAAGGGTTTTAGGGGAAATGGAACCATTGCAAAAAAGACAGAAGAAAATGTTCTGATACCATTCTTATACCTAGTTACTCAAATATATCATTAGGGTGTTGATTGAGATTATTCAGATTGGCTCATAGAATACAGTGTAACGTGTGACACCTATTTTGTGTATAAAATGTAGCAAAGAAATATATGGCAAAAAAAAAAAACACATAAAAATGATTTCTAAATCAATGGGGCATTCATTAGAACTGTACAAATACATAAAAAAAACAGAAAAAGACAAAAAATATATATTTAAAAAAAAAATATATATATTATAAATAAAATTTAAATCATAATTCAAAGTTCTAATAAAACCAGAATGGCAACAAGGGATGTATAGCTCATAATAAAATGAGTTCATGAATATAATTCTTTTTAAGTGCTGCAGGAGCAGAGTGGGTGTTTCTTAATATTAGGCCAACCCACTTCAGGTAAGTCTATACTTCAGACTATATGTTCCTGCACCCTGCATTAAGACGGTACTCTGCAGAGTGCTCACCTACATGTAAAAGACATGGTACGCCACTCGTTCACCCTTTAAGGACCAAAACTGAATAATCCATTCATTTAGTGGCAGCAGGGATCCACAGTGCTGTTACCTGTTTAACAAGCACAACACTCTACTCTAGTACAGTATAAAGTCAGTAACGAAAAGAATCACAGCAAAAATAAATAAATAGTTTAATTGGTCGTTATGGAAGATATTACAACTGTATTGTGAATAAAATGAGCAACAATGGACAACTTAGAATTTATATTGAATATAACATCTAACCCATAAAAAAATAATTAAAAAAATAAATAAATAAAAAAACAAACTACTGCCCCCTCCCCCACTCCTACCCTCCCCCAAAAAAACAAAAAAAATACACACATCTGAATTGTATGACTACTACATTGTAAATGTAGTAAATGGTTATGGTATATGTATACATACACACCTTGTAGAAAAAATATTTGTATGTGGGCATCACTTCCTTTCTCTTGTTCCTTCTAGACCCTAGACCCTCCTTTGACCCTCCACCTTGCACAAAATTGTTATAGGGCCAGGAGTTCGTTTTAGAGACCAAGAGAGCCCCCAATAAGCCGTTGCATCAGTAAATGAAAAAATTAAAGTTCCGTTGCCTCCCCCCCCCTTTTTTAAAGATTTACTGGTGGAAAGACAGAAGGAGGAGGAGGAAGATGGCAAGTACACTACACTAATCTGGCTAAACCTGAAATTCTATACATTCATTCATGTATAAACCACTTTATGCGGGCCTGAAGCAGAGACTGCAAGAATTTTCTGGGATAAAAACTCATGTAAAAAAATAAATAAAAAAATCAAGACATGGTAAGTATTAAAACGGTCATACCTATAATTGGGCTAAATGGCCAAATGGTAGTGACACGTTTCACGTTTTAGTCAAGGGTCAGTACCGTCTAGAAACAAAATGACCTCAAGACAGTGATGTGTAAAGGTTTAAAGGTCAAAGCACAAAGGGCATTATTAAAAAAAAAAATTATATATATATTTCCATCGCTTTGTAAGCCAGAATTCCCTCTTCTAGATGTCTGTTTTACTTTTGTCAAACTTGGCTTTACGGTATAAGATTAGCCTGGAATGAAAGATTCTGGATTCGTGGATCCTCTTCCTGATGTGGAAGATATCTTCTTTAGTTTCGAACACTTTATCTCATCTTTTTTATTTTTAAAACATTTTTTTTTTCTTATCTAAATATTGCGTTAAAAAAAATGTTATTTATAATGATAGTTTTTTTTTTGGTTAAAAAAAAATGGATTTAAAAAAAAATATATATCTTATTGTTGGATAGCGTTCAGAATATTCTGAACTTCTACCGGCAACATTTTAGAATCCGAACGGACAATCAGAATTATATTTCCAGAGTAGAGGGGTCTTTTGAATATTTATTCCTCAAAAAAAAAAAAAAATACATTATGGTGGATAATCACAGGATTAGCAACAACGACAGTAAAGAGGTAGGATTTTTTTAATCAATAGAGTATTTACAGATTTTGTTCCAGGAGTCTCACCTCGGGCAGTCCTCTTTGGGGTGCAATATAGGATGGCGCCACAGGGGGGAAAAGAGGTGAAGGATTTCCCGAATCCTGAGCTGCAAGAAGAAACAGACATTTATAAAATGATATTTAAAAAAAATAGCACGTAGAACATGTATCACCACAACTTAAACTTTAAATTAGTTGCTGAGAAAATAATTATGTGGCGATTCCTGAAAGGCAGTGAAAAAACCTGAATTAAAATATTGGACGGAGAGGAAACCTCTCTTTCATAGTAATCTACAGACGTAACTTGACTAGAGAAGGCCAAATATGTGATTTTAAAGTTTTTCCTAGCTTTTGATTGATCCTCGTGCTTTATTATGTTACTTTGACCATGACCAACTCTGCGCGCATGCACTGGGGACATTGATAGTTTAATTGCTTGTCTTGGAGTTTTGTTAATCTACAAATAAACTGGTTCTTTTTTTTAAGTGTTAGCAATTTTCACAAGTTGTTGTATAAACAGAGGTCTAAGCGATATCAGTCAGTCAATCTCGAAATTGTTTACACCACTTTACAAGAGGAATATAATACCTGTCTCTTAACGTAAGCATCTAAAAAAAAAAAAAGCAGGCTGGGTTATCAAACTATACTGATTTTCATCAATTTGGCAATACAATGAGCTCCGTAACCCTGCAATAAACCTTTCCTGAACCTGCACACATTGCATTCTGCATTTACTGTATCAATGAACCCTCATTTAAATATAAAACGAACTTACTGATCAGCTAAAAAGATTTACAAATATAAGGGTGGGATATTTTTATTTTAAAACAAAATCTTCAAGTAGTGATAATGTTAACATTTGTAGAAAAGTTACAAGAATTATGCATTATGATCCAGGAAATGTAAATCTAAATTGCAAAATTTAGGCAAAGTAAACTGATCTGGGAAAAAAACAACCAAAACAAACCATGATGCAATCACAGCTTGGCTAATTTAGCAAGATATTCTTTTCAATTGTATGTTTTTATTGAGTTTTCAGATTAAGGTTTTTAGCATGACGTTTACAATTCAGATTTCAGATGCCCAAAACGTAGATCCCCAGGTATAGTAGAACTACAACTCCCATCATGCTTTGTGTGTCTTTAGAATGCTTTAGAAGGACAAAGCATCATGGTAGTTGTAGTTTTAAAACATCCGAGATCTACCTTTTGGGCACCTCTGATCTAGAGCATTTTCAAACTAGTTCTCGTGTCCTCCAGAAAAATGAAAGGTCTTCTTTTGACTTAACATTGTAAGAACTTTATATTTCATACATTCTAGAGGTCATCTCTCTAAAAAGGCATTTCTAGGAGGCCATATTGAGATAAATAATAGAATTAAAAACAGACTATAACCAATCTACATTAAAAAAAAAAATTAAAATATAGTTATATAAACGATTCTGCAGAAAGTTATGAAAATTGAGGAGGCTTCTTTGCAGATCTTTATTTAACATGGTCCATTTTCTTTGTAATTCAGGAGAGAGGAACGGAAAGGTCATCCTCTATAACCTTGGAAGATCAATTTTAGGATCAACATTTCTGTGAATACTCAAAAAGGTGAACTTGGCAGAATTTAACTGGTATTGTCAAGCGAAGGATAAGATGGTATCATAATAATAGAGCAAAGGGTTATAAAATTTAGAGGACTGTTCTTTAATGGAATGCAATATCCATAAACCTTTAACAACCAAAAACAATGCACATTAACAGAGGTTCATGGTGCTCGGACAAGATTTTGGAAACAAATCAGTGTGCGTAACAAATGCATTAACCATGCTGTAATATTTTCAACGTTTAGTGATGGAAAATATCAAGAAAGAAAAAAAAGGCTTGTGTAGATTTCTAAAATGGTCTTAAAAAAATTGTGATTATAAATAAATTAATAGAAAAACCATACGCTCATTTCTTGTTCCGTTAACAGGATTACTTAGTGAATCCTTGGCATGAGAATAATACTTGGACAAAAGTAAAAATAAAAAATGAGTAATAAAAAATAAATCACACTTAAATAGGTAATGCTGCTAATACATTGCACCGAAATTGACGAGAATTGCAATTTGCTTCCCTGATTCCTGAAAATGGTGGGGTACTCTGCTCCCTTAAAGTGATAATATAAAAATGATAAACCAGAGGAGGATTTAAATTTGATAGCAATGTTATCATTTGTTCGAAGTATTTGGGGTTCAGTACACACGTCTGGGGACATGTAATATCAGATGACAGTGATTTCAAACAGGTGACGAAACGGTTAGAATTCAAAATCTATTAATTGCCAAAACAAGATTAATCGTCATATAATACGATTAGATTCTAGTTTGGTGTTACGTTTCCCTGTAAGTTCAGTAAGGGAGGATGGAGCCAGATACCACAAGGAGATTTTTAATTGTATTGTTTAAAAAAAATACAGTTTTTTTTTGGGGGGGGGCGGGGGGGAGTGAGGGGAGTAGGGTCCAATCCAGAGAAATTTAAACATTTCACTATAACATTGAAAGAAAAAAATATCTATTCTCCATAGTGGATCACTTTGACTGGGAATGTAGGTAAATTCTAAAAGTTTCTTACAGTTAGTGCGTCAAGACCTGTAGATGCCAGGTTCAAACTATATTCAAGCCTAGACCATTATGGACAACACACATTGGTCCAACACAAGCTTACGGAGAAACGCAAAAATGTATTCTAGAAAAAAAAAATAAACGAGATGAGAAATTATGCAGCCAGATTAACAAAGGTGAAATATTAAAGACATTAAGCAGGAAAAAAAACTTGAACACTAGTCTAGGCGAGGGGTTCCCAAAAAGTAGATTCTAAGACGTTGTTCCACTACAATCCTCACTATGCGTTGCCATCTTCCAGAATCGGGTTTTGAGTTTTGAAGCATCTTGGAGACTTACTTCATAGACACTCTGAAAGTGTGGAGTCTATATTTTCAGAAGAGATAATAAAAGGTTTCCTAATAGATGGTGACCTCTAAATATAGGGGCTTCAAAAAGAGACAACTTAACAAGTACACAGTGTAAAAATGATTTAAACACACCAAACACCCTATAAGATAAATAATGGACTTTAAGAGCTGTCAATCTAAGGCTACAGAAGATAGACTGACCCTTCTCACCTGTCCAGCGTCGTCAAGTAGGATGGGGACAGGTCTTTTAATTTCCTTTATATAATAACATCCCATTAGCTCCCCGTAGCTGCCCAATCAAGGCATGTCCCTGAGTTGTCCCATAACGCAGTTATGGTGTCACCGATGCACTCTCTGTTTACACTAAATTAAAAAGCAGTTCACCCCTGCTTACTGTAAACACTTAGCGTAAGTTGGATGAACTTAAGTCACTTAACTCTTTCCATGTTTAAAAATGCATGTTTAAACAGACAATATACAATATGGCTGCCATTCTAACGTTCAGTGCATATTACACATTATATATTAAATTTTATTAAGATAAAAATTACAGATCGTTAGAAGTATATATTTAAATATACATATTTGCGTGTCATATCTTTTTCTAGTTTTCATTATATCCATCTATTGAATTTCTACGTTTTTTTTTGTTTAGTCGCCATTGAGGTGTGGAATAGATTTTAAACCCCTCAAGGACCCATGTCGAAAATTTTCCATCATGCTGGCCTTTTTCCAAGTCATTTGTGTTTTTAGTTTGGCTACTTTGGCCTAGAATTTCCAAATCACCTTGAATTCTTGACAATTTATATTATTTTTAATTCTGAACCCTGAGGTTAAAGGGTCACTCACACGATGGGAGGGAGGACACACATATACACAACACACACACACACACTCCCCTTCTCCTCCCAGATCATTCATCTCTTGCAGAGTTGGCTCTGCTCATTTACAGGGTCACCTTTTACTAGAGAGTCTGAAATAAATACAGCGTCCAGGGCAGTAATTATATTAACAGAGCCCTGCAGCATGCATTTCCCTATAACACTCCAATTTAAAAAGATTATAAGTGATCAATTAAAAAATAATACCATATATGCTTTTAATTTATGACCATGCTGCTACCTAGCAGTGTTTGTTACGTAATTATTTTAATATTTATTTTTTCTTTTTGTCGTTTCTCTTTGAAGACGGAATGTTTGCCTCGTGTATAAGGAAGAAAACACAAAAGTATTCAAATTACTATTATTGACCATTAGTTAACTTGTACAGCCCATGTAGGGATGCTTTTACCAGTTAAGGACACATGACGGAAATATTCCTTTTTATTCCAGAAGTTGTGTCCTTAAGGGGTTAAATGAACATTGAAATATTTATTTTTCAGTATATTAAAATTTCTAATAATAATAATAATAAAAAAATAATTCACAATTTAATTTTTTTGTGTTTAACACTTCTAAGGTACTTTATAAAGATAGCAAAATCTCTGTTACTTAAAACTTGTCCATTTTATAATGGTCCTTGTTGTTTTTATATTTTGTTTAAACATTAGATCTTCATACTATAGCCACTGCAGCTCAGCATATCTTGCACTTTGTGAACATGTAGTGGTGAAAGAATCACGCTTACTTTGGTGTAAATTGGGGTTTGAGATAGTGCACAAGTAAGCTTTTTTTTTTTTAAGTCTGATTTCCTAATACATAGGGGCTGAATACTAAACCCGTAGCTTGAGGCCAGGAGTAATGTGAGTTTGAGTGTATGGATAATATATGTGTATTTAATATTATTTCAGTATAGCTAAACTTGTACTCACGGTTACAATAACACTAGAGTGGGGTACAAACTAATTGTTATGAATTAAAATAAATTTAAAAAATCCAAATATTACTAGAACGACTTGTCTCATTGAAACAATCAAACCAATAAAAAAAATCAACTGTGCTAAAGACGAAATATTATTATTATTTTATTATTTATATAGCGCCATCAGATTCCGTAGCGCTGTACAATGGGATGGATGTGTGGTGTATTGCTGGGTCTTTGGGTCTGACATGATGAACAGTTCCTTAGATTAGAAAAGACAATACGTAGAGCCCTGCTATTGTAGGATTACAATTCCCATGATGCTCTAATGTTCTAAAATACTTCTAGAGCAGTACAGGGTCTACACCTGTTTTTAATCCTTGTGCCGAAGATACTCCTAGCCTGCCAAGTCACTCACCCTGTATCTTGTCAGTAAGCTACCAGCTTGCTGTCAGTCCTTGATGAAGGATTCCATTGAATGGAATGTTTTGAATCTGGAGTCTGGGTGTTTAGTAATGGTTTATTTGGAGTATACACAGAGTATACTTTCTGCACCCGTCCGTATAAACACACAACTTGCTGTAAGTACCTTGTAAACGTACTACACAAAAGCTTTATTTATGATAATGACAGTGTCTGGTTTTGGAATTTTGGGGAAGACGGATTTTAGAGCTGAAACTACAAAGCTCTCAATGCTGAGCCAGGAAGTGACTGTATTTTATATATAAACCCAGCGCTGTCTGAGCCTGTCCTGATAATCGCTGTACATTATATATAAACCCAGACCTTTCTGAGCCTGTCTTGATAATCTGCTGTCAGGAGGTCGCTGTACATTATATATAAACCCAGCGTTGTCTGAGCCTGTCCTGATAATCTGCTGTCAGGAGGTCGCTGTACAGTATATATAAACCCAGCGTTGTCTGAGCCTGTCCTGATAATCTGCTGTCAGGAGGTCGCTGTACATTATATATAAACCCAGCGTTGTCTGAGCCTGTCCTGATAATCTGCAGTCAGGAGGTCGCTGTACATTATATAGAAACCCAGCGTTGTCTGAGCCTGTCCTGATAATCTGCAGTCAGGAGGTCGCTGTACATTATATAGAAACCCAGCGCTGTCTGAGCCTGTCCTGATAATCTGCAGTCAGGAGGTCGCTGTACATTATATAGAAACCCAGCGCTGTCTGAGCCTGTCCTGATAATCTGCAGTCAGGAGGTCGCTGTACATTATATATAAACCCAGACCTTTCTGAGCCTGTCTTGATAATGTGCAGTCGGGAGGTCGCTGTGCACTATATAGAAACCCAGCGCTGTCTGAGTCTGTCCTGATAATCTACAGTTAGGAGGTCACTGTACATTGTATATAAACCCAGCCCTTTCTGAGCCTGTCCTGATAATGTGCAGTCAGGAGCTTGCTGTACATTATATATAAAACCAGAGCTGTCTGAGCCTGTCCTGATAATGTGCAGTCAGAAGGTCGCTGTACTATATATATAGAAACCTAGCGCTGTCTGAGCTTGTCCTGATAATCTACAGTCAGGAGGTCACTGTACATTGTATATAAACCCAGCCCTTTCTGAGCAGGTCCTGATAATGTGCAGTCAGGAGCTTGCTGTACATTATATATAAAACCAGAGCTGTCTGAGCCTGTCCTGATAATGTGCAGTCAGGAGGTCGCTGTACTATATATATATATACATACACATACATACCCAACGTTGTCTGACCCTGTCCTGAGACTCCTAGCACTGTTAGATTTTGTATTGGGATAGCACTTATTCAAGGGGTGAAAAGAATATTTAACAACGATGTAAAAAAAATTGGCCACCTACTTTCTCGATATTGTCCTCCCTGACCTTTATCGTCCACCCGTCTCCTGCTATCCAGGTTATAGGAGCCACGGATTGCCCAAAACATGGACTGTCTGAAAAACAGACACAGGAGATCGTAGGAATTATGAATTTTGTTCAGTTTTCCTACTTATTAAACTCAAGCACCTCCTGAGCGATGCGATTGTTCATGAACACTTTGGAGATAAGAGGGACTTACAGTTGGCCATCATTTACAGTTTAAGTGTAACTGCTTCTGATTCTAAGTTGGCAGTAAGACATCTCTGAGTGTCAATAAATGGCACAATATATGGTATTTTTGTCAACTAACTGATTCTTTGGGCAATTAAAACAATATTCTATATTACAAAAAAATCTTAGAATGAAGGCTGAATAATGGTGGCTATTGTCGAGACTTGGACAGAAAAACGGGGGGAAAAAATGCAGTCCAAAGTTTCAGGTTAGACTTCTGACTAGACTTTCTTTAAATTTCACATAAGATTCCAAGATAATTACAATAGTAAAATACAAGTATAAATAATAGATCAAAAATAATTTAGGTTGTCATATCAGGTATTGACGTGGAGTTAGTTTCTCTTGGGACTCTGACCTCTGACTTCAGATTATCAGGATAAAGCCTGGTAGACGTGCTATGATCTAAATCAGGGATGGTGAAACCCGAATTTGTTTTCCAAATGGAGTGTTTAGAGTGTGTACTGACTCACCGACAGATTTTGTACAATGTGGATCTTTTCTTCTCCGAATGATCTGTGTGCCCTATACAAAGCAGAGACTAGGCCACATTATATCCTGAAAACATAACTTACAAAAAAAAATAAACCGCCACGGAATTATATAGTTGACCTAAAAAGTAAAATATAGGAAACGAAAGATTGTTATTATTGGAGCATAACTATCAATTGTATCATGGTCAATGGTATCTGGACCATTCCATGAAAAACTGGACTGGATCTGATTGCTTTTCTTTTTTATCCAAGTTTACTTTCCGCATCCCACCATTCCCTCTCCGAGCATGCAATCCATGAAGTCAGAACGACTTGCAGGAAACGGTTGCCCCATATGTGGTGGTCCACAGGCAACCTCCTGAAATATTATTCCAAAGAGGAGCTCGAAAATAGACGTGGTATGAGCAGTCTTAGAATCTAGAGGTACTGCTATGACATAAAATGCATTTGTTCTACACCTACATCATAATGCCACAAGGAAAAATATAAGAAAAATTGATGAGTAAGTTGATACTTTACATCAGGTATGCGATTGTTCACGGTAGTATGAACAATCATTGAATAGATTTATAATCTAAAAAGTATAGCGTACATGGATTTAAATGAAGTTACACAAGGAGTTCTAGATCTATGAACTTTATTGCATAAACATTTGTCTCCTTGTATCCAAACCACTGAAATGTATATTCATAATCAGTCATTTATTTATATTTTCTTCTTCTGCGGTTTCATGTGAGTGAGGAGAATATGCATGAGTTTACCTATTTTAATAAATTTATATGATACAGTAATAATCCATGTAATACCCCTCTAACGTTGCAGAGAAAGGAAATTATTGTAAGTCAACGTTCTAGCAACACGTGTTACTATGAAGGTAGACTCTGATGGACTTCTGAGAAGGTTTCCCTCAAACTGTCTAAGAGACGAGAAGTTAGAGAGTAAATTTTCACTATTTGCTAACTGTAACCCTTGGTAACCAGTTTTAGACATTTTTTTTAAGGAGTATGTTTATGCCAGTGTTTAATTACTTACCATCATCTTCAGGCTGGAAGCTCTCGTCATTATCGTTGTATTCTCCAATATCAAGAGCCCCTTCCAGGTCTTTGTCAAAATCACTCTTTAGGACAAACAAAAGAGTTAGAGGTGTGAAAATAATAGCAAGCCAGGTTCTTGATATGTTAGTCTCTTCCCTTGGCCATCATTTCACGTAACTGCGTGAATATTGCACTAATCCTACGTTAGAACCTTTTTTAGCCTTTGAATGTTTAAGAAGATTTCATCATGAGACATAACTAATCTATTACAAACATCACTTAAATCTGGACAGTGGTGATATTTAAAAAAAAAACAACAACTATCTTTAATTTTCAACTTCCACTGACTTTCTCACTGTTATAGCCCAAAAAACAATAATTGCTAATACGGGAGGTAGTGATTTTCTAAATGGACTATAAGGACCAGTGTGCCAGTATGGGCCCTATAGGCAGCAGGTAAATAAAAAAACTATTCGTAGGGGCAAAACATTTATTTGTATATCGAACTATATACCTACAGCTGCTCAAATATTATTTATGTAATTTAGTAGAACTCTGTTTGTGACCTCCATAAAAAAGGGCAGTGAATGGTTACAGTCAAAACTCGTGTAAGTGTAATAAATAGCAAGCATACGTTAAAAATGGGAGAAGTAAAATTTGGTCAAACTAATCTCAGTGAATGAGTCTCTCTCTCCCATTGACTTTATCTCTGCTGTTAATGCATTAGACATCACTTGGTACTTTATTGGACTGACAAGCCAGTGTTCTAAATTAGAATCTTGTGCATCCAATAGGAAACGAGCAGTACGTGGCTTTAGTATCTTATTTGATAAATAGGGGTTAGGTATAAAGTGCTGTGTTGTAAAAAATCGTCTAAAGTACTGAAAGTGGGGCAGTCACTATGGAAACCAGTGCAACCAGCAGGTATATTGCATTGGTGACTCCTCCCCTTTAACATGTTTGCACCTCTTTTCAGAACAGACACTTTTTATACGTGACATCCAAAGAATTTTTGCAACATATAATCTGGAAAAAAATAAATCTTATCAAAATATTGCCTTGATTTAATATTTTTGGGCAAGCTCTTTCTTCAAAATATAGAAAAATATGAAAAATATATATCAATGTATTTTTTTTTTTTTTTAATATCAAAATCATTTGAAAAGCGCATCCAAGAATATTAAAACCGAGGCCTGTATTGTAGATGGACTTTACATTTAACAATTTAATGTGTATATATAAATAAACAATGTAAACTTACAACAGCCCCAACCCACCCAACAACAAAAACTCCAACTCCCCTCTCTCCAAAAAAACTAAAAAAGTCATCATACAGAGATGAGAGATGTGATATTATGTAACAAGAGTTGAGGAATGATGTAACAGTCATGTGATTGGTTAGGAAGATTAAGTTGAGTGCTACTCACTCTGGATGTCATGTTGCTGTTGAGTGGTTATATCCCTTACTGATCCAGTTCCCAGCGAGGGGTGCACATAACACTCGGACTCAGACCTGCATGTTTGCAAGGAACAAATCACACAATTAATGGGATTATAACTCATGTTGCACCTTACCGATGTCAAAACCCATCTAGTTTATTTAAGAGAAATGTAGAAGGTTTAAAAAAAAAACAGAACAAAAAAGCGCATGCATCATATAGCGTGACTCACTAAATAATAGCTAACACAAAGTTGTACATCATATTTAGCAGCGATCCTGTAATAACACTTCATTTGCAATAGTGAAGCATAATTACAATGCTGTTAATAATTGTATAAACGATTGCGATTACATCCCCAATTCACCTCCCAGACACTGTAAGAGCCTTAATTTGTAGTTCGTCTGGTTGAGAATGATGGGAAGATCCTACCCCTAAATAGAATACCATATCCACAAAAGTGACATTTAGCTCTGCTATGTTATGATTGGTACTGTGTTAATGTAAATTCAAAAAAATTACCAAGTCTCTTAAAGGATGTTAAAAATGTTGATTGCGCCATTTTGATTATAATGTTTTTAATGCACAGGCAGTGATAGCTAAATATAAAACTGCATATTGTATGAGATTAGACGTTTTCTCTACATGACTAACTTAGCCTAAATTTCGTTCCGTAAATATGCCTTTATGACAACTTTCTTTTGGTAGCTTTGAAGTTCGCTCTAGCGGACCCGAAAATACTGGTTACAGTTAATCTAGGTATATACGCAGCCTGAAGTAGCTCGTGGGGTTTCGTACGAAGAAACAAGGAAAAAATTCTAAATGTGGAACAATTACAAAAGAAACCAAAATAATGTTGAAGCTGGCTGTGAGAATTGTCGGGAATTCAACATAAATTTCAAATTTAATACCAAAATAGATGAACTGGGAAAAAATTCTCAGCAAAATCAAAAGCGCTTTAAGTTCAGCTACTTTGGCCTTAAATTTTAATTTCATATTGAATTCACTTGGAATTTTTGACAATTTTCAGAGAAAAACCCTGATTGATACATAGATATATAAAATCCTTGTTAAGGTATTTGAGGTTTATTTTTCACGTATAGGATTGTAAACCTGTTAGAGGACAGGCTCTGTATACCCCACAAACAGCTCAGGAATGCAGTGCAGCAGTGGATCTGTATCTGTATTCAGAACACTGCTTTATATTCACTGTTTATCCTTCATCAGGACTATGCGGTGCAATAAGGATAATAAAAAGTTAATAGTCTTAGAAAGGCTTGTGTGTTCCAGAAGGAGTAATATATACATGTTTGATGACCAATGAAATTTAATAGATGTGTAACCATAAAACTTCACTTTCTGTCTGTTTAGTAAACCGTAAGGATTTTTATTTTATTTTTTAGACTAATGTCATGACCTACGACAATGTACAGAGAGAGCAAAAAAAAAAAACATTCTTCCTGGAATGCCATTATTATTGATTTCTAAATTCAGGAGTTTTTATGGCAATATATTTTGCAATGAATGTCACTCCCGAGTATGATCCAATGTATTTTGAGTCCACTGAACAGTATTGTCAAAGGCGATCTGATCTCATCGTATGTTAACATTGTCATGTTTTTCGCAATTCTGCGCAGTTAAGTTGTGGACCTGGGTCGCAGCTCTCTCTGCCTCGACTGATAAGACTCCTTCGTTATAGGGAACTCCCAGCTACGTGAATGTCGAGATAAGAAAGACAGAGGATTCCCCCGCCCAGCAACCTCATAGATGCAGAGCCCAAATCCATGCTTTAAAACGCGCACTCTGTAACTCCACAACCTAATCTAGCAACCACATCGGTGTTATTTAATAAAGTGAGCAGTCCAAGTAAATTCCAGGTTAAAATAGCAAAAACAAATAAACTCTACATCAGTTTCAAATATGCTATTCTGGCCCTAAATTTAAAATTCACTTTAAATTCTCACTTATTAGATAAGTCATACTTCAAACCCATCTCTTTGAAGAGTAACAATCAATATATGGAACCAAATAATTAGATAAACTTGCAAGCACCTATCATGCAAGGTGGCATAGTCAACTAGGAGCATAGACATAGTTCAAGTGTCAGTTCTATAAAGCAAATAGAATTTGGAATACCATTGATACATTTAATGGTTAGAAATATAACCGCACTTAAGTAACCGCTAGATTATTTTACCCTTAAGTAACAATTTCAAGAGTCTGTCCTATTTCAAAGGAAATTTACCTAACGATATGGTTTAAGACTCAATCCTATGCATACAATCTATGGTAGTCTTACATTAGTCATAAAATTGCACAGTTGGTAATTCAGTAAAATATACCCTATAGGGAAGATGAAGCCCCTAAAGCAGGGGTAGGCATCATTCGGCACTCCAGATCTTGTGGACTACATCTCCCATGATGCTTTGCAGGCATTGTCCACAGCATCTGAAGTGCTGTAGGTTGCCCAACCCTGATTGAGAGATATGCAGTACATGTCAAAATGAAGCTTTTAAAAAATTAAAAAAAAAATTAAAAAAAATTATAATTTTTAAACAATATATTTTTGGGAAGTTTGCATTAATTGAGCGTAGAATTGTTTTTAAACAATTTCAGATATATACTGTATAAGAGTGCTTTTACCAATTGAGATTGTATTGGTGGTCAGTCTAAAGAAATACACCAACCTTGGGAATCTCTGACCCTTCACTCTAGCAATCCGTACTTAAGTACAGTATACTTTGAAACTGTTCAAAGTATAGACTAACAAGAGAAATCAGTTCAGTAGTTACTATAAAAGGCACCATTTGTATGAATTACTTCTGCTTTCTCCAATAATGCCATACCTCCAGGGCTGTTGAATCTTGAGAACATTTCAAGATTAAACTTTTGTGTTCCAGATAGCTCAAACAGTTCTCTATGGACATTATAAAAGGTTATTTAAACCTACAGATAGCTAGCCTATTTTTTTTTTTTTTTTTTTAATAGAAATATAAATCAAAGGAATGTATTGATGATGTCCAGAGAAAGATATCCTTAATTTTGGGTTTATATGACAAACAATCCCATGGGGTTTAGGAAATAAATACTTTAAATAAAATGACTCTCAATAGGCCTGATAAATTTGAGATAGTTCTAGAACTTGATGATATTGCAGATCATTTAAAATAAACTACGTGTATATATATATATATAAAAGACATTATTCAAACAAAGGATATCTGATAAATATTCCAAATTAAATATTTTCACATAATTTCTACACCCGTTAGACACAAGCAATAGGGGCTTACTAACATTCTCTGGTGGATTTGCCAAATGGTCCACAATGCCTACACTTTTCTATTGGGGATATTTCGTAATTTATTAAAAAAAAAATGCAAACTAATAGAGCATCTTTGGAGTCATGCCCAGAGCCTAACCGTAGTAACATAGTGATCTAGGTTGGAAAAAAAAAAGACTTAATACATCAAATGTAACCATCCACACATCTGTTTCTGTGACTGATCCAGAAAACAAACAAAAAAAAAAACCAAAAAACAGTTTGAAGCCTTTTCCAAAGTGCCACAAACAAGACAAAAAAAATTCCTCTTGATTCCAAAATGGCAGTCAGATAATTATTGTATTCTGTAGTAGTATTTATGTTCCATAAAAATAATTATTTCACCTGTTATTAGCTTTACCCCCCATGTGAACCTGTCGGAGAAAACCAGGTAACCCAATGCCACCTACCTGAGTCTTCTTCAGGGTCTTGATCCCGCTTGGGGTCTTGCTGTCCTATGACCAACTGTTGCTTTCAAAACCCTGAGTCACCAGAGTCACTTAATCTCCACCCTTGGCTAGAACGAACCTTATCTCCCCAACCACACGTCTCCCTCAAAACTTACAGCTACCTTCTGCTCCTCCCCAAATTGGAGTCCTCCATACACCCTTTTGGCCCACCATCCCACCAGAGAACTTCAGTTGGGGATTCCCTACGTCAAGTACGTAATATGTGGGGGCAGAGATCATGTGATGTGAGGAACGACTGATACTTCAAACAAGCCAATAAGAGTTTTTCTATTAGATGTTTGAATTTAGTATTGTAATAAAATACGTCATATTTCCAACTCACAATTCTAATCCAAAATTCGATGAATTATTAATTGTCTCTTTCCCACTTTTCCACTCAATTTTTGTTTATCTCAATTTTTACAGCTTTCTTCACACATTTTTCATTGTTTGTACGTCCTCTGTTGCAGTTTAACATTTTTTCCTTTATTTCATAACCTCCCTATCCTTTTGTTTTCCCACTACGGTATTTTTTTTTAGTTAATTTTTATACCTCTCATTTAATTTTTCTTGTAACATTTATTTCTCTTTTCCCGTATTATCTGAACGTTTCCTGTTCTCTCTGCTATATTCTAGAACTCACCATCTTTACAAATGTTGGAATTAAACAGAGCAGTTACCATTTGTGATCTGTTATACTAAAAACAACCAATGAATTATGCATATCAGCATTGTCAGTGATCACCTGAGCCCAGGTCATCCCCCTTTAGACATAAATGGACTACTCCACTTTATTTAGAAATTGGATCACTTCCGCCCATTCTTGCTGCCTACAAAGACCGCAATCTAAGTTGTATGCCATCTGCGAGTTTATGAGTGACAGTACGCATTCAATACTGAGCAATGGTTTGGAGTTTTAGAAATAATTAATGATTAAGGCCCTCAATGATAGAATATATGCTTTACGTTTCAATTACACGGTAAGGTTTATTAACTAACATTAGAATTTAAAGTGAATTTCAAATATAAGGTTAAAATAGTAAAACCAAAAAACATTAAACATTCTCTAAGTCAGCTGTGCTACCAGTTAAACAGCCGTGGCTTTACATCTCAAATAAATACAGCGAATCATATAATCTATCATTGGGCATTTTAATATATTTCATTAAATTATTGATTATTTATAAAACTTCAAAAAAATTGGTAAATAACCCTGTGTGCCTTCATTTACGTGTCGCCTTTACTGTCGGTTATTATGTATAATAAACACACGCTGAAAAAGATATTAAGGATTTTTTGGCTGGGGTGGACTCCCTATAGACCAGAGCATTCTGGGATTTAGAGTTGAGAAAGCACTCGCATAAATAGATAAAAGCATTAAATCACCTACGCTCTGCTATAAATGAAGGCTGTGCAAAAAGAGTTAAATATCCCCCCTCACCCCCTGCAGTTTAGCCCTTGCAGTGCTGGGTTGAACATATCCACCAGGTCATACTCTACAGACCAAAGAGAGGCTCTCGATTGACCAGTGTTATCCAATATTGTGCCAGGGTAATGGGCGATGGCGTAATGTGTGTGGATTTGAATAAAATAAATAAAAGAAAGATCTTTAAGATATTCTGTTATCTCGGCTTGGTTATATTTTTCCATATTTGTAAGGAATCACCTTTAAAAAGGCATTAAATAGACTCTGTAGGCACTGTCACTGCGTAAACGCAGGCTTCCCCAAACTCCGGCCCTCCAGATGTTGCTGAACTACAATTCCCATGATTCTATGAATGAAATAGATAGGCTGAGAATCATGGGAGTTGTAGTTAAGCAACATCTGGAGGGCCGGAGTTTAGGGTAGCCTGGCGTAAAGGAACACTAAAAATGTTTGGAATACAAATATGTATTTCCTGTCCCTATAGTGCCCTAGTCTCCGTTTAGTTGACCAGGCTCCTCTCTTCCATGATTTAAAAGGTGAGTTTTACTTTGGCATTTGTCTCTGCCTCTTTGGCAGAGATAGTTGAGATTGATGATCTCAGCTAATCCAAAGCTTTACCATAGTGCCGTATTACTGACCATACGATTAAAATAGTAGCAATTTACTGCTGCAGAGAAGAAAGGATTTCAAATGCAGGGTTAAATCGACAGGGAATGGGGTGAGGACATGGCACCCAGACAACTTCATGGAGATGACGCGGTCTGGTGCCTATAGAGTCCCTTTAATCTCATTAAAGTGGTTATGGTGCCTGCAGTCCCCTGGCGCAATCTTTCCATTCCGTGTTAAACCATTTTTAATGTTTAATGCTATACACAAGTCCCCAGCACACTTCCTCTGTACTGTCTGGTCTAATGAGAAAGCATTGGCCTGTGCAGCAATGAGCAGCTGTGATTGGCTGAAATTTTTTATGCAATCTGTGATTGGCTGAAACTGTCAGCTGACCACTTTCATCCTATCACAGGCCCCATTGCTGGTGTGAATTGATATGGCTAGAAGGAAGTGTGAAAACTCTACCTTAGCCAAACCTCCAGTGGGGGCAGGGCTATGTAAAGCCAAGGATCCTCATTCAAAGTTAAACTGCTCGAAAATGGCTTAACACTGGATGGAGGGACAATACCGGGGGAGTTTCAGTTTGGAGTGCATTATCACCATAATTAATTTTTTTGCATACAATTTTAGAAAGATTTGCAACTTCGCGCCACCCCTCGTTTCCCACTTCCAAGGGGAGAGGAGGATAATGCTACAGCAGAGAAGTATAGCCGACGTTGATTTATCAAAAATGTTGAATACGAATTAGCTAATTCTCACAGCTTTCATTTAGAGAGCGTTTATATTTTCATTCATGAAAAACCATGAATGAAGCAACTTGTGCCATTTAATAGTAGCTACCAAAATAGCGTTATTCAGGTTTTATAGCTTTCAACATTTATCAGCTAAGCGACATATCCCATCAAGTTCTGCTGCACACGGTTTTAGAAGATATAGACATTACTCCTGTACAAAACGATGAGGAATCGGCCAATTCCTGGTCCAAGAGATTGATGCTGTAGAATGTGAGGATTTGCAGCAAATGAGATCCCTTTAAAAGTAGGCACCTTTTTCCCACTGTTTTAAATATATGTTCTGCATATTGAAATATATTTTCTATGGATTTGGAAAAGGAGGGGCATCATATCCAATCCGGAATGTGTTTTTTGTTATATCCCTATATAAAATTGTTGACACCTTATAATTATAGCCAATCATTTCTCAAGGCAGAGCCTTTCCAGTCATTTATAATATTGTAAAATATCAGTTATCTATACCAATGGTTCCCAACCCAGTCCTCAAAGCAGACGAATGGTCCAGGGTTTGAAAGAATTTTAACATGGATAGAATTGGAATATTCCTAAAAGTCACTTGAATTCCGTAATCACTTGAGTCCAAAGTAGTGGTTATGGTGCAAGGAGTCCTCTGGCATCTTCCCACTGGTAATACTCAAACCGTTTAGAACAGTTCGCATTTGATAAGGCGAAAGTTCCTTTTCTACATTAGATATATCAATTGTGCTCATATTTGGTCAGAATTAATTGGTTGAGAGCATAGATTGACACTCCAGCCCAAAATAGCGGTCACTAATTAGGAATTAACAATTAAATTGTTATCTTTGAAGAGGGGCTGGGCCACAGTGCCAAACCGTTGCAACTGTGCAAGAGAACTACTGGCACCATAACCACTTCAGTGGGCTGTAGCCATTATGATGCTTACAATGCACCTTTGAAATCCTGGACTGTTTGCGAGGACTGTGTTGGGAACTATTGATGTATGACACTTCCACCAGTATACATTGCACTGTACATTGATCCAGTTCCCAGAGCAGTTGCTGGGTCAGATTTGACGAAAACGCCTCTCAGTGCACACAAATTGATCAATTACAACGACTGAATTAGTCATTTTCTCCTCAGTGCTGAGAGAGATAACCTTTATCTGAGCTATCGGTGCCTGTTTAAATTATTAACTGATAAATATAAACACATATACTAGTGGCCATTTAACAGATCCAGGTGTTATGGTTTGTATCAATATATAGACTTGGTCTCTCAGACATGCATCATCATAGGGTGCCATAGATGTTTTTTCTTCATGACAAAATCAAAAGGATTAAATCTACGATTATAGCATATGTGCAAAAAAAATAAAAAATAAGCTTTTTTCATATATGTCAAATATTTGTATTACATTATGTGAATATTTATACAGAAATCCTCCACACCAATATACCATATTTTACAAGAGAGTAGTGACGGTATGTGGCTCACACCTTACAGCACGTGAAATGGACAAAGAGGGACACTTTAAATTAGGGGTGTGAGTGGGGTTGGGATTGTGGCGAAGGTCAGGCTGTTCTGAGAAATTTTAGGTGACCAATAACAATTTATTAAAATAAAATGTAATCTAGAACAAGAGCAATGTATCTTATTTACACAGACTGAGTTCTAAACACATTAATTGTAGTTTTAAAGACACATTACTGGGAGCAGGCCCGGACTGGCCATCGTCCTGGCCATGTCCATGGGCCGAGGCTGGCAGGTGAGGTCACAGGATCTCCCCAGCCGGTCCATGCAGGGCCCCACTGGCTGTTTTCCATGACGGGCCGGTGGGAAGATAAAAGATCTCCCTCAGCGGCCCACTTGCACAGACATGCAGCTGGGGAGGGAGAGGAGGACCCGGTAGAACTCAATCTTGCAGCTCTGCCGGGTTCCTCTCACGAGATCCGGAGCATTGCCATGGCAACACACCCGATCTCGCGAGAGTGAACTCTAGCCTCGCAGGTTAGCGTTCACTCACCACTAGCACCACCAGGGATGGTGTGAGAGTGCCGGTCCCCCCTCCCAGGCACCATCGTGCCGTCCCCTCCTCCCAGGCTAAAGTTAAAGAGGGGGGGGATATAATGCGTTTTTTTTTTTTGGGTGGGGGGAGATTTTACCACCCAACACACAATCCCTCCTAACATATACACACATATCACCCCTCACACTCATCATCTATCACACACACACACATACTGCACCCCTCACATATATACACACACACACACACACAATACTTTCAAAACACACACACACATATATATATATATATATATATATATATATATTTTTATATATATTTATTTATTACACACA